TGAGCTGCAGGCAGGTGAGTCACTGTCTGAAAAAGTGCATCTGGTCGCAACATTGCCTCTGGTGAGAACAAGGAGACTTGGGATGCAGTAAGAATTTGGGGGCAGGAAGGGAACAGTTTGAATTATCTGCACATTGCGTGTTTGTTGTCTGTGTGCTGCTCCACACAGAGGAGGACACAGTTACCTGAATGGATCATCTGCAGTGGAGCCAAGGCCAGCAGAGCAGTGTGATGGCTTCCACAGTTAGGACTGAATCATGAGGTGCAAGTACATCACGTAAAAGTTGTGGTCAGGCAGTGCTGCTGAGCACGAGTTGAATGCAGAGGAAAGCACAGGAAGCCCGGGATCAGTGTCACAGCAGCTGCTGCTTTCTGTGGGGTGGGAGCCAGCCTTGCACTCAGAAATAACCAGAGCTAAAATTAGGTAGCATTTACCATCTGTTTTAGTAAGATGCAGAGCCTTGTGGTCAGTTTTATAATAAGTCTGTGAATGGCAAAGTCTGAAGTGAGCTGTGCTGTTGTTGATACCTTTTAAAATTACACAGAAATTCCTAAGAGTGAAGGTAGAAAGCCATTTACATCAGCTTTCCCTTTCTTTTAAAAAGGATGAAGCYAGGCAATCTCTTGTTTTTATAGTGCTCCTGCTGACTTCTAAAGCCATCTCCTGGCTTTTGAGAAATCCTTGACAGCTTAGGTGGCACTTCCAACTTTCTGCAGCTAATTGCTTGTGTTGTGTGCAGTTTGCCTGTAATCCATGCCCTGAGACAGCCTGCCTGGCTTACRGATGCAGTGCTCTGCGCCATGTGTGTGTGTGATTTGCTCATTCCATTAATTTGTTTGAAAGGCCAGCACAGCTTCCAAGGTGACTAAATCATGTTGACTGTTGACACTGCCAGGAGATTGTCAAAATATTTGCAGGGCTGCTTGGAACCCTTGCTGCTTTCCTGGGGTAGAGATTGACGTTTTTACATGTAAATTTTAATTTCTAGTTTAGGGGAAAACATAGGATTTTTGTTGAAGGTCCTGGCCACTTGCCCATCCCTTGTTCAATTTGGATTTTGGTAGTGCTGTCTGAAGCAGTGCAGAGGATGGTGCTGCCTGTTAATTGAGGATCTGCTCAGAGAGGTCTCCAGCCAGAAAGGAGGGAGGGTCTACAGGTGTGGGACAAATCAGCCAGTTCTGCCGGATAGCTKTCCAAGGCATCATCTTTCTGTGCCTGGAGTTACACCTGATTTGTTCACAGCTGAGTCATTTAGACCACTGGCAAGTTTCATGTTAAGGCTGTGACCATTTAGTAGTGTCTGTGTGGGGGCTCAGGATGGGCTCCTCATGGGCAGGAGAGCATTCCCTGGGTGCTGGGGCTGCTGGATTCAGTTCTGCTGGCACATCTGAGGGAGGCCTTTGCCCTGATGTGGCACGGTGTGGCACAATGTGCCAGCAAGGGCAAACAACCAGGGTGAAAGGTTCTGGCAGCCTGGTGATGCTGCTTCAGCCCATTCTCAGTATCCTTCCCCTTCCTGCTTTCCCTGCTGCGGGTTTGCTGTGACTGGTCTCTGAAACAGAACSATCAGGCTTTAGAGAAAGGGCTTTTACACCAGTCTCAGGTCGGGAGCAAAAGAACTGTGCCCTCACCACAGGGGAAGGGGTGGAGAAGGAGCCCTGTGACTGGGCAGGTGAGGAGCAGAAATGCCTGATGTGGCACCTGRCATGACTATAACCTGTGCAATCACAGCTCTGCTCTGCCAGCCAAATGCATGGCTCTGGTGTAAACCTCACAGCAAAGCCACTGCTGCCAGGACAAAGTCGAGGAGGCRCTTGCCAACCTGTTAATATCCATCCTCTCTTACAGTACCTTTGGGTTTGTGAAAGCATGGGCTGAAAGCCATTCTTTGTTGTAAATTTGCATTAAAATACCAGGTTCTTTTCAGAAATGTACCTGTTGCTCCATCCTGGCTATTACATTAACTGCCTCTGATAACTCAATTATGGGTTTTCTTCCAGCATTGTGGCTCGGTTTCCTGTTCCTGCTTTTGTGTCTTTGCTCAGCAGCGATAAGTGAATACTGAGGGCAGTGAGCAGGGAAAAAGCCCTCAGCACTTGTTCCAGCGCAGCGTGAAAGGCTTGTGGAGTGCTGCGGGTGTGGGGAATGCCCTGGCAAATCCATGGCAAATCCATGTTCCTCTGTGCTGGCTCTGTGAACCCGTCTGTCCCTTGGGGGAAGTTTGGGAACCCAGCTGGGTGCAGGTGGCTTTCTGGGGATGCAGAGAAAGCACCATCTCTGGTCCCTGCTCTGAGGCAGCCAGCAGTGGSCCAAGGCAGGCACTTGGCTCTCTGCAGGACAGGGAGGGATCCTGGCTGGGACCACAGCCAAGAGCTGTGTCCTCCCTCCTGGCCCCCTGTCCCCAGCAGCTGGGAGCCGATCTGAGTGCCTGCTCCCGTGTCACTGTGCCCAAATTAGGGGGGTCTGGCAGTCTGGAGGTGGCAGCTCCTTCTCCGGTTGCTGCCCCTCCGTCAGCATTYAGACATCCCATGGGCTTGGTCTTTGACCTGTCTGTGCTGCTGGGGCCGGGATGGCTGGACTGCTGTGTAAGAGGCGCAAAAAAGGAGGTAGGAAACACTTCCTTGGCAGCAGGAATCTCTTCTTGAGGGCCTGGTGTGCTGGGCTCTCCCTGGGCAGCAGCTTTGGGAGGCTTTCTGCTGGTAGAGCCTTGTTTTGCTGGCAGAGGTAGGAGAGGATGTTTTGGTCTCCCTGGGTCTGAAGACAGGGATGAAGGTTTTATGTGGTTCTTCATGTCTTGAGGGRTGGGGGCTTATCACACAAATCTGCATTAATATTTTCTTTCACTTTAGTCAATTGCTCAGACACAAGGTATTTTTGTTAGGAAGAGTAGAGATAATTTTTATACTAAAATAAAAGAGTTAAGTGTACCACCTTAATTGAACTTTTGAGAAATACATGGAGCTAAACTAGWTTGAAAGTATCCTGGCTTGAAATGTATGTATCACTTTGTTCATATACATATGCTGTGCCATGTATTCACTGCTCTCCTCTGCATTTGCAGAGGGCTGGGAACCATGATGCCCTGAACTTATGGAACACTTGGCATTCCCAGAATGACAGCAATGCTGTAATTATGAAGAGTGTTATTCTGGAAGTAGGAGCCTTCTTTCTAGATGTAAGTCTGACTTAACTGAAGTTTGGGCATTTATAGACCTAGCAGGGTTTTAAAAATCTAACTTCAGCTTCCACATAAATTTTTTTATGCCTCCTGGCAGCATCACAGTGTAGGAGTTGTTGGGATGAAAAAGCTCTAGCTGGGAGTAATGCAAACAGGGCTGGCTAAGGCATGTTGTTAGAGTTAGTTTCATCTGTTTYATGAGGTCTTCTTGCTCTCTGACTTATTTTGTTTGTGGAGTTTTTCAAGAATATGAGAAGGAATGTAGAAAAGGGTTACTTAAGAATTTCTTCAGTAGCATCTTTAGTGGGGGGTTAAATCTCAGCCTGAGAACATTGTGTTCCGTTTGCAGTTGGGAACCGTGGGGCATAAACCACCAGGTCTCAAAATACATGTCTGGGGTTTGTTGCTTGCATTTCATAATGAGGATCTTAGTGGTGATCAGTATAATGCTGTGAGCCAGAATTAAACAACCTCTTGGGAGTGCAATCAGGAAATGTGAGAGCTTGTTTTAAGCATCTGTTTCAATTTTCTATGAGGGAAGGAGAGGGGGTTGCAGTGTTTCTTCATCCCTGTCCTGTCTGTGGCAGCAGGATCTCTGTGATTTTCACTTCTGTTAGGCAGGAAAACAGCAAGTCCTGGTGCAGGATTTTGGAWCCTTTGTGGACTGCATGCTAATGACAAGCCTGTGGTTTGTTTTTCCAAAGGGACAGGGGTATAATGACTGCTCTTGTAGGGAGAGCTTGCGGGACACTGTAATGATTATTAAAGTGTCCCTCCTTTTCTTTCTTGAGAAAAGTTTGTCTAGCAAACCTTATTTATTTGGCAGTCCTTGCTTTTCCCTGAAAAGAGTGTGGGACTTGGAGCTTGCTGAAAGGATACTGCACTACCACAAATGCTGCCACAAGGCATTTTAGTTCATGCTTACACAAAACTATCACTGAAAAGATGGGGCTGTTATGGTTTCTCTGGCTCTCCTATTTCACATGCATCTAGTTCAGTATCATGCCTTATAATAAATGTTATCTGAGTTTGAGGGGAAATGTGCCTTGGAGAGTGTGAAAGCGCTACAACGGTGCTGGCTTTTCTTACTGTCAAGCTCTGTGAAAACACTGAAGAGCTATTCAGTATTTGTCCTCAAGTTTAGTTCCTTCCATGTAGGGATGTAGGGAAGTGTTTTAACATCCATTTTATTTATGAAGCATGCTTCCCTGGCCTTCCTAAATGAGAGTTGTAAGTTTAAGACAAGAGCCTTAAACACAAAATTTCAGATTTCTGTTCACCAGATCATGGCACATCTCTTTTATCAAGTGCACTGCTGGAATTGAATACATTTTGATCTTTATTTGGTAGGTCTGTTTGGGATTCTCTAAGGATTTAAAAGGCAGTAGCAAGCTGCAGTTCYTCCTGTTCTGCAGCTGGAAAGGGTGGTGATGAATAGTGGTTGTGCTATCAGAAAATTAGGTTTTATTTTAGTAGTGTGATGCCTGCTCTAGGCTGGGCCTGCAGGCAGAGCTCACACCCCTTTCTTCTGCAGAAACAGGCACTCTGAGCGTGTTCTTACCACACAATTGGGTTTCTTGCTAGAAGTTTCCAGCCACTTCTGTGGTAGCTCTGTTTAATAGGAAACTATTAAAGGATGCCACTTTGATTTTATTTTCCACTGTGGCAGCAGTTCTTCATAAGAAAGCCATAAACTGTGGTCTCGTGTTGAGATGAATTTACCAGATGTTGTCTCTTACTATGAATACCATCCCCAACCCCTACACGTACACCAGCTTTGCTTTTATTACACTCTTTCTGTTTTTTTTTTTCTTCTCTCCAGTGAGTGACCTCCAAGAAGAAGGCAAAAATGCCATCAATGCATCAATGAACCCAAGCACTGTGGACATCCATCCAGAAGACACACTATTAGGTAAAGGTTGCGTGTACAGAGCCAAACCAAGAGGTGGTTTGTGGAGGTGGCCACTCAGTGCTGAATGTGGATTGCCCAGCTGGAACTGAGAGATTTGAATGTGACAATTGAAAAACCTTGCATGTTACATTTAGACTAGAAATTAGAAGGGTTAAGTGGAATTTGAAGASCAGTTTATGCACACACAAACAACATTGTTTATGGACTCTCTCCCATGTCCATCCCCATTACCATACTTGGAGTCCCTACAAGAGCAACAGCATAATTTTAATAGCAAAAATATAAAACTTATTATTTGTTTAAAACTTACTAAAATAAACCACTTTAGTCTTTGATGGCTGCTTGTCTCCTAATCTACGGAATTAGTTGAAACTAGTTATAAAACAGTAAATCAAACRTCAGGGCAAATAATAAAACAGTAAATTAAAAACGGAGAAGTGTTAGTTTGGATTTTCTGATTAGGAGATTAGTCAGAAATGCAAAGATCAGGAGTGTCTGCAGTGGTTTCTGGATACCACTAATGCTGTGTATGAATTCAGAAGATGCAGGATTACTYCCGAAGGCCTGTCCTGCAAAGCCATGAACCAGTGAATGTTAGCCCACGTTCTGTGGTGAATCATGTACCGTTATGGGTCAGCCCCTGTTCATGGTTGGTGTTTTGGGTGTATACTGAATGTCATTTCCTTGTGGTGGACTGTCTGACTCACCCTGGGCAGTAATGCAGAAGTAAAGGAATGGGGCGGGGGAGGGAAGCAGCAAAAGAGTTAATGGTTTTKTCATTGATTCATGAAAATGTTTCAAGTATGTTCAGACAACATGTCTTATTTTTTTAATAAAAGCGAAGAACCCTGGAAAATACTGACCCCAAATGTGTGGGTGAAGTCCAAGGTGACCAGTTAGATACTGGTTATTAAATACTATATAGACAGACTTGTGTCCAGGGTGTGTAATGTTTCCCATCTGACAGCAGTGAAGTCTGGCACTGCAATGGGAAGTCACTGCAGGCTGGTCACTGCCACGTTTAAAGGGTTCCACTGAGCAGTGTGACAATGGCCTGACCAATGGTGACACCACAACCCTCCTTTGTTGTCTTGGTAGAAGGAATTTAGAAATCAGTAGGAAAATAGGGTTATTTATCCTGTCTAGACTCAGTTAAAGATAGATCCATGGGGTTCACAAATAATTATTTTAGCTGAACAGATATGGATCCCCCCTCGAAGCTGTGCCACTGTCCCCCATCCTCATGTCCCCGTTGTGTAGTGCCGGAGTTTGCTCTCCACTGAATGGCACAGATCTGACTTAGATCACAGCTCCCACCTTGCTACTCAGGGAGATAAAATTTAGAGTTCAGGGAGACATTTCAGATATTGGACCTGCTCCAGCTGCACCCTAAATACTGGTATCCAAATCTATGGTAGCATATATGCATCCATGTGATACACATGTCCACAGGTGCTGTTCTGAAAATAACTCTGCCAAAGGTTGGTTGGTTGTTGTTCCTGTTGAACTCATGTTGATTTTGCCACCAACACTTCGTCCCTTCTCAAAATTGCTCTTCATGTTTGTGCTTGTCCTTCTGGCCATTAGAAAGCACTTCTCACATCTCCTCATCTCATCAGCAGAAGAAATAGAAGTTCTTACAACTGTGAAATCTATTTTGTGTTCTTCCCCCATGCACAAGTACAGTTGATATAAAGTGGGGTAATTTGATTCCTTACGCATAACCAAAGGTTAAGGAATTCTTGCACTTAGGACCACATGTGTGACCCAAGTTTTGGGGAACCAGAGGGCGGAGGCACGAACTCAGCCCAAATCTCAGCAGCTGCACTGAGTGTAGTGTATTAAGATCACTATTCTTCCAGATGCTGGGACAGATGTTTTCAAAGAGAAATTAAATGCAAACTGAGGAGAAGGAAGAATGTAGTTCACTKCAGTTTTTGGTGTGGTACTATGAATGTGCCCCACATGAGGACRGGGATTTTCCTGAAGCATTCTGCATGCAGCAAGGTCCGAGCAGGGGGAGGTCAATGGCAACAATCCTGGTTTAGGGAAGTGGGGCTGTGTTTTGTTTCTGTGTGTCTCTGAAAATGCCTGACACTTTGCTCATGGGACATCCCCTTGGCCAGAGGATGAGTAGGCACTGCCATGTCTCAATCAGCTCACAAGCTCCTTCATGGGCAGGAGTTGTTGCAGTTTCAGCAATGCACATTTGAAGTGGATCTCACTGAGGTTTCCCATTTTGCTTGAACAGAGGAGAATGAGGAACGCACTATGATTGATCCTAACTCAAAAGAAGACCCCAAATTCAAGGAGCTGATCAAGGTAGGAAATCAATATTTTGTCCTTCAAATTTTAATTAGTGAGCTGGGGTAATTTGCAAGCTGGTTACCCAAGAATGCAGYTTAGGAGTAGCTACTTGTTCCTGTGAGAGCTGAGATGAAAGTCAACAAGGTAAGGCTAAAAGCAACAGTGAGAGAGACAAGGAAAGGCTGAAAGTAAGGGTTTTCATGCTGATCATGGAGTAAAGATCTGTCATCCATTTATATCCTTGTGWTCATCACAGCAAGGATCAGTGCTTGGGTTGAGTTTGTCTGCATCCCAGCACATAAATGTAGGTTCTTTCTGTTTATGAAAGCTGGGAAGGAGCTTTGGAAAGCATTGGTGAGCTTTCAGGAGAAGAAAGAGTAGGACTAAAATGAGTGCAAGGGTATGTTAGGAGACAAGGATGGGACCTCTTGTGTCACAGGAAAGTTGGAACTGAGATTCTTCTTGYCCTACATTCTGCCCTCAGTTCACCTGTGCTGGATCAGGGACCAGTCATTCTGTCTGTTGCTGGAGACACCTGCCCAAGGTGTTGATAAGGTGTGCCCAGATGTGCTGATATTAAATGAGGCTTYCTGACTCGCCAGTGTCCATAGCTCYTGCYTGGTGTGACAGAGGATTTGATCTTGAAAGATTTGTGTTCAGGAGAGCCTTTTCTATGCAGTAAGGTGTTGGGSTTAACACAGTGCAAGCTTGAGCAGGCAGAGAAGGGATGGCGAGCCTGAACAAATGTGATTTCTTTCAAAAAAGTATTTGTGCTGGTGCTATACTTCTCACTTCACTTTTCCTTTATTGCTTTAAAATAATGGTGAAAATAATTTTTGTTAGAAATAACAATACAGCTATATCTGTGTGGATATGTAAATTTTGGRTAGTGTATACCATTTTGTGAGAGGGGTTGAATTGGAGACCTGATGCACCCTGGCTGCACACAGCTGCTTTACAGGAGTAAACTGCTTCAGAARATGCCTCAGCAAACTGCTCACCTAGTACATCTTTAAAACAGGCCCAGGATCTGTTGTTATCACTGCAATAACAACAGGATCACAAAACCACATCAGACCGAGTCTAGCAAGGAGCTGTGCTCAAATTGCTGTTATTCACCAGGATTACATTGTGGTTTTAAATTAAGTGACTGCACATTCTTTCTTTGTTAGTACCCAAATCCATTAATTCTCTCAAAGGTGCAGTGGCCTTGCATCACCCTCTCAGAATGTAATGTGGTTTCTCTGTTAGTKGAACAGTGATACTATCAGCTGCACAAGAATCGTTGCAGTGGAGGAACCAGATGCACTCTGTGATTCAGGAGATTTGATACCAAGACCACAATTGCTTTTAAATTGTGAATTTCCTCCTGAGTTTAATACGAGTTGTTGAGTCTTCCCTAGATGTCATAGTCCAGCTAAGTTAAATATTTTTCAGATTAAAAACCTGAAAACCTTCAAGAGGAATGAAAATGAGGGCCAGAACTGCACTCAAGGGTTTGAATGTATTGCAGTCAGGTTCAGGGTCTTGCACAGGGAGGGAGGTTCCAATGGAGCTGGATTGCCTGGTGATCAGGGAGCAACATGGAACTGGAGATTGTTTCCTTGGGATAATCCTCAAAGGAGAGAGGTGTTTTGTAGAGTGCCTGTGTAATTTAGGTAATTGCTATTAACTTGCATACATCTGAGCAGTTAGAGTTTTGACAGAGRTTCAGCAGTGTTGGTGTGGATTCACACTCTGTTGATGTGAATCTGTAAGACAGGGAGAGGTTTGAATTATGCTGGCAAAATTTATTTTATATTACAGAGTTTGGATAATGCAAAAAAATGAGTAGTCTATTCCTCATTTTCCATTCTTTGGCGATTAATGGCATTTTCCTAAGCCACAGTGCTGGATGAGAATTGCTGTGCCAGCAGGAAAGTGTCTGCCCCACAGAGCCTGAAAGGAAACATCTCCACGGGCTAGTGAGGAGAGGGAGCTTGAATAGACGGAGGTTTTTATAGTTCCAAGTGGTCTCTCTCTCTTTCCCTGCAGAGAGGAATGTGCCAATAGCAGCAGCAGAACCTCATGCCTTTTGAAAGTTGGCAGTGGGACTCGGTTTTGTTGGGGCCAGCCCAGATCCCTTTCAGCTCCAGGGTTAGACATGCCAATGCCATCATTGATGCTGAGTGTTTCTCTTCTGCCAGTCACATGCAGTTGGGTAAATGGATCTCAGTACAAAGAAGCACCAGAGATATCTGCTGCTGACGCTGCTTTAGTKCCTCTTTGTCTCCACCAAATGTTGGTTTAATTTCTGCTAACCTCATGCCAYAGGAATTATATGCATTGTGGATTTGGGCATTTGGAAGTGATTTTGACAGAGCCTTTGTAACTTGAGAGGGACAAAGTGTACAGCCCTTGTGGTAGTACAGACACCAGAAGAAAAACAACAAAAAGCCTCATTCCTCACTCTTAGTAAAGCAAATATACTCCTTGTTGAAGGCTGCTTAGCTGGGGATGTGAAAATATCTGCTTTAAGTCTTCTTGCACAGATGAGAAACATGTTTGAAATTATCCCTGGAAGTGTTGTTTGTTATCACCACAGACAGTTTTCTAAAAATACTCACAGTTTGTCAGTATGAAGTGTTCAGCGTAGTTCYCTTTGTGGCCAGCAGCCTTTTTTAACTCACTGCATTTGCTCTCTGTGYAATCAAAATTTGGTACATGACTGAACAGACCTGAAGCTGAAAATTCATATCAAGGAAAGAGATATGAGTTTACTGGTTTTGTTTGTATGTATGTATGAGTATTTTATTCACAAAATGGTCTGTTTCTAATGTCTGAAATGAGTGAGCTTTTATTCCTTGTCCAATATATGCCAGGTGCCCAACTAATTCATAGTAAGTATTTGAATAGTATAGTTTTGGGCTAGTTTGTGATCAGATATGTCCTGTGATATGTGTCTATTCTATATATTATTGTGAATCTGATTAAAATTCAGTTTTCATTAATATATAAGTTTTCCTAGCTCTTACCCATATCACTAATTGTAAATAGTGTTTGGGGGTTCTTCTAGCTCTCTTTTGAATACTTAAAGAAAATGAGGTTAATCCTTGTTGTTCATGTGTGTTTCTTTATGTGTTGTGTAAAAAGATGGAAGGGTAGAGGTTTCAAGAGCTTCATTGCTGATTGCCATTCTGAACACAGTTAGGGTTAACAGGCTGTAGGAATTGAATCAAAGACTCTGAAAAGACACTTTAACACTTCACAAAAGTTGCAGATTTCCTAGGGRTTTCTGATTTTTCGGTATTTCGATTTTTTTGGTTGGAAATATGTGAAAAAGAGGTTCTGCTAATTGAGTTCAAAATGTTAGAACAACAGTTGGGTCTCATGTGAAAATGCCTTGACMAAAGTCACAGTTCTAAGGTGCTTTTCCTCAGTGTGAAGACATCTGTAAGATTGGCTGATACTACAGCAACTTCTAGCCTTTAAAAGGCTCATCTAAACTTTATACAGATCCAAACATTGCTGSTCTAGACACTGCCTGAAAAGAGTAAACATTCTCATTTGTAGTAAAGTACTCACTGTCCTAGAAGATACCAACTTTTTCCGTGTCTAGTTTTATGGCTTTTTTAGATTTACTGAGGTGAAGAGAAAACCAAAATGAAGCCACTGTCCTTTGACATGTGGTTTCACRTGTGACCACATGAAACCGAGCTTCCTAAATGCTCTGTGATCTGCTTTTGGCAAAGAGAAGCCCTTTTTTGCAGGATGCCAGTGCTTTGTGCTTAGTCAAGAGGCCTGAATATGAATTTGTGCTGCTAATTTCCATACTCAGCCCTGAAGCCAGTTTCATACCTTTGATCTCTGCTTTCTAATTCTTCCAGAAGCTGAGGGGAAGTGGGTCATTCAAGCCAGGGTGTTCTTTCTTTGCTGTTTTTTGGTGGCTGGGCTTCCTGTTTTCCCATTGTGCCAGATGTGTTCATGTATTTTGTGTTGTTTTGCATTTTGTTCACCATTGTGCAGTGGTGACTGCGGGGTCTTTATGCCCTTGAACTCTGAATTTTTACCACTTACAAATGCCTGTGTCTGAGCATTTGGCCTAGTTCAAAAGTGCTTTTTCATGTGTGCAGCTATGCGTGAAATGTCAGGCATGGTTTTGAGGACATCAGAATATGGTATTAAATTTTTAAAATCACACCACCAGCCCCAAATACTATAGAAGGCTATAGAAAAGCAGCTTTCTATCCGCCCAGAATGAAATACTGAGCTGCAGATGTATGAAATGCAGGCACAGGAATGAAGGAATGGAGTTTGAGACCAGACAGATCGAGGTTAAGCATATTTTCATGCATAGGGAAAAGCTCGTCTGCTTCCCACCAAGCACCAGTGTGCTTGTGTAAGGATGTTWAAATTTTTTAGACATTCAGGTTATTGAATATTTCCTGCTTCTGTCTTTTTGTGAAGGGGAAATTACAAAGAACTGGAGAGAGCTGACTTTCCATGAACAGTCAGAAAGTATTTCTGATTTCTGCATGTTTGTTTCAATAAGCAATGTGGTGTTTCCTTTGTAAAAGTTTAAAAACAATTCTATACAGAAAAGTTTTTCCAGACTCCTAAATAAGACACAATCAAGAAATCAGCAAAGCTTGGGGTTTTTTAAATAGTASTACTTGCCAGCTTTAACAGCTGTTAAAAAACCACACTTGGATGTTTTTTTTTCCTTAAATATAAATTGAAAATTCTCTTTTTCTAGTGGAGCTGGAGTTGTAGTCTGAATACTAGAGAAATTAGAATGTTTTTTGGGATATTTTTCTTTGATTCAGGTGCTAAATTAATAAAATACCTATGACTGCACCTGCTTAATTGGTGTCTTCTTTTTTTTTTTGTAGTTTTTTTGCCTAAAGTTTTTCAGTGACAAATTTTTGTGGCAATTTTAATTAGCACATGGTGTAAGTATTTCCCTTTTTTAAGACCCTGTACCTGTGATTCCTGTGTATCGGCATTCTTGGAAATCGGGTGCTAGATCGTACATTAGATGGTACTTGCAGGTTTTTTATTCTTTTATTTTTAATTCCTTGGCATTTTCTAGATTTTGACTTCAGTACTATTCAGCATAGGGAAAACAAAATAAAATACTAATTAATGGTTTAAAATAGTTCAGTGTCTTGAGTCTTCCTTTAACAAAGCTTTTGAGGACTTTCTGAAGTCCAGCCTCTTCTTACAGGGACTGTAATGGGATCTGATTATTAAATGATAGTTTCAACTGAGCTCCAGATAAGTTTTGAAAGTCTGTTCTGTAAATCTCATGGAAGATCTAAACCTTTTAGTATTTTGGTTTCTTCAGTTGTCTTTCTATCAATGTCTGTATATGTCAAGCATATATAATTATGGAATTGGGCAGTCACCTTTGAAAATGTCTTTCTGGATGATGTTTTCTTATCTAGGTCTGACTTTTCTGTATCACTGGTGAAGTTTTTGAGGTTAAAGATGGTATTGTGCTTCTCATTGTCTTCCAGCTGTGGTAATCCTTTGCAGACTCGTCTAATGTCTCTCTCCAGCTGTTTACCACAGATGTCCTTCTATTCCCTGACAAAGGCTGATAAAGACAGGAACAGAGATTGGAGTTTTCTCTCCTAGTGCAGTTCCCCACGTGGGAACAGAGCTCTGCTCAMTGGTTTAGGCTGCATCTTCTTGCATTTCACTTTTGCTGCCTAAAATCTGTGCTGACCTAATCCCATCTGGGATTTTCAAAGGAAATCCAAAGGTTTGGTGCCCTGTGCCAATTGCAGCTGGTATTTTCAAAATCCCAGCTTTAAATGTAGAGGAGCAAGACTGGGAAGGGAGGATCCACAGGCTGCTGAGGAGACATCCTGAGAACTGCTTCATCSTGAGGGTGCAGTGCAGGAAGAGCAATTGTTCTGAGGTTTTCTCTGCAAGGTCCCAGGGGAGCATTGGGGTGATGATACTGCTGGTGTAGAGCACATCCTTGTGTATCTGTGTCTTCAATCACCTCCCCTCTTCCTGTACCTATTTGAGAGAAGACCGTTTGTGTCAAAAGTTGCTGATACTGAATAGTAAATAATTAACCAAAACCCCTTTATTTTCAAAGAAAGGGGTTCTGAGAAGTAATTTTTATTCTTCAGCTTTAATCCCTCTGGACAGTGATTCACATATGTGGGCATTGATGCTGATCCTTGCTTTCCATGGACTGAGCAGTTACCAAATCACACAGCTAAAATTTGCCATTTACATACTGTTCCTATTTTTGGAGCTGACTTTCAGCCCTGCATATTTTCAGCATGCTTTGGAAATACTAAAGATATGGATTAGAGATGCATGAAGCATTAGGATTTCATGTTTGCATTATGAGCTTCTTGGTGCTCACTAAGCTTAACAAAATTAATTTGAGTTTTTTGGGTTGAAGGAACATCAGTAGCCAGGCTAAATAACTTAAATGTTCTCATGACCAACACATTCAAATGCTTGTGTTCCCTAGGATTCCCAAGGTGGGTATTTTCCTCTGCAAGCCTGTCTGTATTTTGGTTATTTGCTTTTGTTTCACAATCTCTTGCATATTAAAACCCCAAAACTTTGTTAGCCATCACAACTGCCAAGAAGAGACAGAAATATGGGGTCTAATCAGAAAGTGAATTTAAGGAATCCACCATTTTATATTATGCAAATTAAAAATTTCAGAATCTTTAAATGAAGCTTATTGTTTTAGGTGGCTCCAGTTAATGGATTTCTCATGTCTATGATTGACAATACTCTTCTTATGGAGCCAATGAAGTAGCAAGAATTAACTTTGTATCTCTTCCCACAGAACTGTGTTATTTTTGCAAAAACAATTAAATTTTCCAAATGATAAATCRGAGGAGAGCATTACTACCAGCTGCAGTCAAGGCTTGTTTTCCTGTAACTGTTTGGAAATTACTTCTTTGGCACCTGGAAAACTTAACTTAGTTCCTTTTCTTTTTAAAGGTCCTCTATTCTCATTCTGGTTTTACAGATAACTGATTTTTGTAGTTAGAGTAGACAGCATATGGGAACTTTTAAAATTGTAAACTGATTATCAGACCCATTTGAGCAAGACATTAATTCTGGACTTTTGTATTCTGCAATAGCTGGGGATAAAATGCTTTGTCCTGTTGTCAAGATCTGAATAAGAGCAACAGGGGACAATGAGATACTTTTGTTCTATTTTTTAAAATTCAGATCTTATCTCTTAGAAATACATAAATATGCTTGCACTTCATCTGTTTTCTATTCCTGATTACTGCCTTGAATGAAAGGAACATGTTTCATTTGGTTTTTGACATTTATCTCCTTTTTCTGTGCCTGCAGGTTCTGATTGACTGGATTAACGATGTGCTGGTGGAGGAGAGAATCATTGTCAAACAACTTGARGAGGACCTTTATGATGGGCAGGTGCTGCAAAAGCTGCTGGGTGAGTCCACACAAGAGAAGGTGACTCTGAAGACTGGAAGGGCACAAAGTTAACCTGTTCCAAAGCTGCAGGCAGCAACAGCTCTGTGCAATATCTCATTATCTCACCATGGAGGTGCTTGGTTTCASTGAGAGCTGCAGCCTCAGCTTCTTATCTGTTCTCCTCTGGCTGCCTGCTGAGAGAGGAGGAAATCCAGATGATTCCTAGGTATCTGTTTCATGGACTAGCTGTAGTCCAGACAGCTGAAATATTGGTTGGAAAAGCGTGAAGAGATTGGTGTTTACAGTGGGGAACCAAGCAGAAGAGTGTGGTCCAAAATTTTGTCAGTAYAGTTTGCTTTTGAAAGCTTTTGGGCTGAGAGCTGTTTTGAGGCCCTGGTAGTACTACTTTYGAGGGGGAAAAAGAGAATGCATGGCAGCAGGCATGACTCAAAATGGGCACTTCTGTGTGAATGATACATGAAGGGATATGCTCGGGTGAGTATTTGGGATTTTGCAGCCACTTCCATCTTTGCAATGTGTGTGTTGATGCARGAAGCACAGTGGAGAAGACTTAGGATCGTGCAGGGATTTATGGGGATGCTTTTGGCAAACAGAGGGACTTGAGCTTCCAGTGCCATGTAAATCCACACAGCTTCTTAGGCAGACTGCTCTCAGCTCACTTTGGACAGGTTTTCAAGAGTGGGCTGGGCTGTGGGGTCACAGTGGGGCAGGAAGACCTGGTGCTGCTGGCTCCCCRCTGCTGCTGAAGGGTGCTACTTGCAGGGTTTTCTGCGTGTTTTCTGCTGAAGGGTGCTGCTTGCAGGGTTTTCTGCCCCTTGACTGTCTGGTGTTTTGAGGAACATTCACAGGCATTTAAAATCGGTTAGCAACGATTAGCTCTGTGTGCAGTGCTTTACATCTGTGCAGATTCCTTGTGTAGTGAAGGTTGTGTGCTGCCAAATGCTTTTCTGCAGTGAAGGAAATTGGGAGGTATAATTAATTGCCGCTAACTTGATGTCTAGCTGGAAGTTGTTACATATTTTGACACCTGATTGATGAGCATGTTCAGCCAGACTTTACCAGTTTTGTCGCATTTTTATTGGAATTGACACACTGATGAAAGTTTTACTTCCAAGGAAAAAAATTCTCTTAGAAATGTTCTAGTGGACTMCAGTTCTACCCAGTGGTCTGTGCTTGTTATTTTCATGCAGCCTAATCTGGTTTTGCCTGTTGTTTTTTATTTTTTCCAAATGCAGAAAAACTGGCTGACCGTAAACTGAATGTGGCAGAGGTGACGCAATCTGAAATTGGTCAGAAACAGAAGTTGCAGACAGTTTTGGAAGCTGTCCATGATTTACTCCGACCCCATGGCTGGACCATCAAGTGGAATGTTGACTGTAAGGACTCTGTAATGTTTTCTGTCTCAGAAAGTGTGATATCACTTAGGAAGTCTGCTAAGAACAGTTTTCTCCAGTTTTCTCCAGTGTTCTCCAGTGCAGTGAACAGCAAGTGGTTGAGTCTGCCTCTCTTTGTTAATCAGAGAGGGAGTGGAAGGGTTTGGGCTTGTAAGTCAGGCTTAAAGGAATGGCTGAATCTAGGCTTTGCTACCTGGCAAAGTTTTACTGTAGGCCTTACTAATTCAGGAAAAAGAGGGAGAAGGACAAAAAAAAAAGAGGCTGTGTTGACCAAAAGCATTTTTCACTGCTTTTTTTCCGCTGAGCTGTTTGTTTAAAATAACTCTTCAGTATTGTTTTGCTTGATTTCCCTTGTTCCCTGCAGCCATCCATGGCAAGAATCTGATTTCCATCCTTCACCTGCTGGTGGCCTTGGCCATGCATTTCCGKGCTCCCATCCGGCTGCCCGAGCACGTGGCGGTGCAGGTGGTGGTTGTGCGGGTGAGTACCGACTCCTGGCAGCAGCAGATGGGGCTCTGCACTGCTGGGCTGTCCCACCATTGCCTCCTGTCTTTGTCATTTGGAAAATGTGTGTCCTGGTTRCTGTGGAGTCACATGCCCAGGGATGCATTTTGGGATTGCAAATGCTTAAATGTGACCCCGAGAGCAGCCCATCTTCAGAGTGTTTGGGACCCCACGTGTTACTGCAACAGCAAGCTGTAAGTGTGCGATGGGATTTTGTGAGAGGGAGCATTGGGCCTGTCGTTTCTGTCACTTTAGTGCATTTTTTTTTTTTTTTTGCCTTGCAGTTTTTTGTAGAGAAGCCACTGAAACACAAACAGCACAGAAAGGAGTTTCGGCACACAGAATCTCCCTAGTCTGGAATGCCTGTTAGCAGTGTTGTTTTTSCCTGATGACTTCACTTGTTGTTTTCTTTGGCGTGTCCTAGAGACTTTCATCATTGCTTTCACAGTTTTGTGTTTTTGTTAGCTTTTCTTAGATATGGAGAAGAGAGATCTGACCTAAGGAACCCTGACTGCTTCCCCCCTGCCCTAGATACTGCTGTAGTTATTTCTTTCTCTGCTTGGTGCTGATTGTTTCCCTCTACCAAGACTCTGCTTTCAAGTGTCTGTACTTTTGCTTTTTCCTTGCCTTCTACCCCAGTGAAGTCTTCGCATGTCTGTRACATGGGGACCCAGTTTTTGTCCCAGCTGCTGACCCCCAGGCAGATGTGTTCCAGCTGTCACTCTGTTCCTGCTGGGCCTGTTGGCTGTGGCACTCAGTGCAAGAGCCATTCACTGTCCCAGCTGCCAGGCTGCAGGCAGTTTCCTTTCAACAGTAAAGAAGATAAAGTGATCTCACACTCTGTTTTGAAAATGTGGATCCCATTACAAGATGCAGGGTGGTTGATTAGATGAGCCTCATTTTGCTTTATAATTAAGTAATGATGTTTTCCAGGCTGTGCCTGGATGCTCTAAAGGTTCAGGGTGTGATGTAAATGAGAAATTGATGAATACTTACTGGTTCACAATAAATGTGTATATTATCTATAGGAGATGATTTTGAGCTGCTTTAGCTCTTTCAGAACTGAAGTTAGGAACAGTGAGAACTTGAGAACAGTGAGTTAGTTATAAAGTAACATGAATGTAAATAGGASACTGTTTTCTTTTTAAATTTCTGTTGTCTGTCTTGGAAAGATAAGGAGGAAGATGTAAGTAGAAGCTGGTCAGCTGTTCTATGATACCCTGATCCTCAAAACCTCCTTCTGCCCAGTACAGTGAAGTGAATTTTGCAACTGCTAAATTAGAAAAAAACATTAGGTAGAGAGGTAAAGCCTCCCTTTCCTCATCCTTTGTTCAGAACCCTTCAGAACCCTTCACCTCTACAGCAGAGGGAAGGCTGTGGAGATTTTCACCTCTTTTGCTGTTGGAGGGATATAGAGGAGACACCATCGGGTTCACCRGAGTCCCTGGATCTTGAGACTAAGATGACAGGGTGACATAAAGACAGACAAGAAACTAAGGAAGAGAGAGAGAGCAACATCTGTGTCTCTAAGGGAGTGCCTGGGGGTGTCACATACAGTGAGAGTTGGGTTAATTCTTGCTCTTGGACCCGGAGCCTGGAGTCTTGGGGATGGTCGTGGCCACTGCTGGCTGTGAGCTCTGGCCCCATGAGCTGGCCCTGTGCAAGAGGAGGCCCCTAACCCACTGCTGGGAAAAGCTTGCAACTCCTCAGCTTTGTTTATTTAAATGGAAAGCAAGGGGCAGTATGAAACAGTTTGTTCTGGAACAAGAACTTGTGCCATATGGTTTGGCAAACTGAGTTTTTGTAGTTCAGCATCCATAATCCGGCCTGAAAATACATACTGATTCTATAACAGATCTCCTTAAATGGACTTTGTTTAGCTTTTGTTATACTAATGACAAACAGAATGGTAATGAGGTTAATGTTGTTCCTAATCCAAGTAAGAAAACTACTATTAAGAAGATTATTGCCATTATTGTTATATATATATATTGCCAACTTATTGTTAAATGACCTCTTGTTACGTATCCACATAATGATTAGGATTCTGTCAAAATAGATCACAGTTAACATCAGGTATTAATTGAGAGGTTTTCATTTAAATGGATATTTTTGTTTGGATATATATTTGAGGGGCTAAATAAACAGTTTGAATGACTTTTGTACAAGTCTTCCAGAACTGACCCTGTCACAAGAAAACTGTGCAAGATGCTGTGGGAGTGTGGTGTAAGAACGCACCCACACTGACATTTTCAAAACTAATTAAGTCTCATTTTCACAGATGACTTCAATTGTTTTTATCAACTTTGTTGAGTTGTCCTCATGCTGTGCAGGTCCCTGAGGTGCTTCTTGCCCAAAAGGACTGCTTACATCATGGAAATAAATTGGTTTAGCAAGTTACTGCTCAGCCAAGTTATGTGCATTTCCACAGCCCATCCCAGAGCAATGCAGAACACCTTGTGGGCTTGTGTCAGTGTTGGGGGCTCTTTCTTCTCTTACTTTCACTGTCCTGATCCATAAAGTGAGATAAAATTCTGACAGCTTTCTGATGAATGGAAAGTATCCAGATCTCCAGTTCTGTGGTGATTCTGCCCTTCCGTTGAATTCTTATCTTCCTTAATCATCTTGAGATGACAGACTGAGAGTTTCTTAAGGTCCTGGGTTTTTTTWAATTAAAAATGCTGATGTCATTCAACATATGACTGTCATTCTAGCCCTCCTCAGTGAGGGCAGGGARGAGAGAAACTCTTGGTTTCAGTATTGCTTCCAGTGAGAACTGAAAATACTGAGATTTTCTAGCTGATTCTTCTGTCTGTGATTTGAAATGTAAGCTTGCATGGTGAAATAATACCTTAATTCAGGAAAACAAAAAAAATTCCCAGAATTAAGTGTGCAAGTTGTCTTTAAGGCTCACTGTGTTGGTTATTTTTACAAGGCTCAGGAATTGTCATCTTTTGTGCTTAGCTTGCTTCTTCCTCATTTTTAAAGTTGCAGCATGCAACACCARCACCTTGGTGCTGCTGGGAGAGCTGGGGTGTTTTTACAGTAATTCCTCTTAGTTTGGTTTGACTCTGAAAGGTCAGAGGCAAGGCAGGATGAAGAATAAATGTGTCTGGTGCCAGTGGTGGAAGGAATCAAAGTTTTATCAAGGAGTGACATTTGCTTTTGGATTGCAAGGTCAAGGGASCTAGGCTTGCTGTGAGAGCAGCATGCTCAGCTGCCTCAGAGGGAGAGAAGTGCTTCCTTTTCCACCAGCTGAGGAGTCAGTGCTGGAATCCATTCCTCTTTCTTACCAGACATGTGGAGGCATTACTCACTAGTCGTCACTTGCTGAGGTTTTGTTCACAGGTTACAGCATCTTCTCCCTGGGCTGCGGGGTGCCTGCAAGGTCCGGAGCCCTCTGTTCATGAAGCAGAAGCATGATGGGATGGAATAAAGACAGCATTATTTTGTGTGCAAGAAAATCCTGCCCTGTCAGCTGCTTCCTCATTTTTCCATCCGTGCTGTCATCCTGGCTTTTTCCCCCAAACCTCCCGGTGCCATTCCCATGGCTCCCTTGGGGGAGCAGGATGAGATGGAAGTGTGATAGTGGAGTGGGGGCTGTGGAGATGTGGCAGCTGGCAGCACCCAGCCCAGGGGGCACGGAGATGGAAAAGCTCCCCCCATGCCTCCAGCCAGGCTCAGTCCCTTCCACCAGCTCTGCTTGCCCTCATTTCTTGACTGAGGGGTGGAAGGGCAGCAGTTCTTCTTGCTGGTTTTTAGACTTCAAATCTCATTTTTTAGATTACWTCTGGGGAAGGATATGCTTCTCTTCTAAACTGTTTTCCTCTAAGTTCTTGCCTGGGCTCCAGCTGGTGAAAACAGCTGAGATGGTAAATGTGTACACAGCTTGTGCTTGGGGTGGGGGGTGGTTTCCCTGCTCACCTGAACTTGAAAGCTTTATGAGCCCTTCCCTAAGTCATTGTGACAGATCTGTTCCTAGATGGCTGCTGAGATTTGAGCTCTTTCTGTCAGCTTTTTGAACATGGAGAAGGGAGGAAAGGAATTCATTCAGGCATAGTTTTGAAAGGAACCCATAGAGCTGTTTAACAAGTTTTTAACTCAGAYAAAGCACTTCCAGCCTCTGAGGTGTTTTGAAACTGGGTCTCAACACATGCTGGTCCTCTGGGTTAGAGACTCTTTATTTGTGCAGAGAATTATGCCACCGAGGGACTACACTGTACCAGGGAGATACAATTCCTTGTGAAATCATGAGCTGGGCTTCTCGTGCTCCCTGCGTTTCCTTGGGGGATGTGTCCATGCCAGTGGCCCCAGTGCCAAGCCTGTTCTAGGAGAGCTGTGCCAGCCCCCTGGAGCCTCAGCCTGGGTGCAGGCATCTGTGTCATTTCAGTCCCAGACCCCTCTGGAGGGTCAGGCTCCACATGGCTGCTTGACACCACGGCACCATCGGCTGCTCTGGGGATGGAAGATGGGCTGACAGTCTCTGAGTTGTGTTCCAGGCGTGCTGTTACCTCTGGTCTGAGGAGGGGGATTGTTAGTGAGGTGGCTGGCTGCAAACAGAGGTGTATAAATGCATTTCCCAAACATCCCTTTGGCTGTCAGCCTGATCAATGCCACTCCTCCTGTGCCAGCTTTTTCACCTCTGTGAAATGTAGTGAGAGTGTTTCACCCARTTCTGTCCTCTGGTGTTCAGAAAGGCATGAATGCTGCTGAGTGAGCCYCTGATGAGCTTCTCCTTTGCTAATTCYATCTTCCTTTCCAGAAACGTGAAGGCCTCCTTCAGACCACTCATGTTTCGGAGGAGCTGACAACCACGACAGAGTAAGCACAAAACGCTTCGGTGCAGGATGTGAGACCATTTCTAAAGATGAGAGAGAAATTTAACCTTGCYCCATCCTTGCCAAATTCACAAAATCCCTTCATGTGGGGCTTTTTTTAACTRTATGATTTGGTCTCTGGGAATATGCTACAAAGGAGAAGTGTCCTCTGGAAATTCTTGTGTCTTAAATACTTTTAACAGAAAGTGACCTCTCTTTGTCTCTGTTTCCCCTGCCTGGTGKATGTAGCTATATATATATACATGTATATCTAAATATCTGCTTTCTGCTTAGTCCTGTTTTCTCTGTCAAATGAAGGGCTAAGTGTAGATATTTTGGGGAAGAATTAGTTTGACAAAAAGCAATTCCTTGGCTTACCTCTCAAAACGGAAGTGATAGTTAAAACTCTTAAAGACAGAAGAGCTCAGCAAAAATAAATTAAGTAAATAAACCTCTTCCCTCCCTAGTTTTTGCACCAGATTACTTTGCTTTATATTTTTTCCAGTCATTTTTATAAGGAGAAGGACATGCATTTTGTCTTCAGCTGAAAGCTGAGATTTTCCTTCACATGGCCTAAAGGCAGCTCTTCTAAGAGGGGCTTACACGAGCCCTCGCTCAGTTTATCAGTGTATTGGCTCCCTGTAGAGTTGGCTCAGCCTCCCATGGCTTTGAAGATAAATGAAGCTCCATGTGGTGCTTAGTGGGGAAGATCTTTCAGATGGAAACACTCAAAAATGAGATCATAATGTCTCTGTGTGGACATTAAAGATCTCACWGTGGTTTTTGTAGGATCAGAGCTCTGGCTCACGTTTGTGGGTCAGAATTCCTTCCCTCTGTCCTATGATCTTGAACAGTGCAGTGAGTTTGTTCACTCTTCCAGATGTGATTTGCAAGATGTAATCTGCAGACTGGGGCTTAGACATTTTTTAGCAAGAAAGATGCTTGCAGATTTGCATGTGTGTTTATAGATGTATTTTATGAATTTATTTGATAATTACACAATATTGAGAACTTTATTGTTCAACGTGTTGCATATCCAGATACAAATACACCTATGGAATGTGCAGTGGTCAGCAGAATCCAGCATTTACTGAATGCTTTCAGATTCCTCTGTTCAAATTAGGGTCTGATTCTCAGCTGATAAACATCTTCATATGTCTGATGATGTCACTGGCTGTGYATGTATTTCATATGTGGCAGTTTTATTTACATAATATTCAGATATAGTGTATGTTTTCTTCAGAGGAAACAGGTTAAAGTGAGACAGATGGYTTTGCTGCCTGTAAGCTGGGGTTTAGTATCTGATGATTATACATTTGTGGAAAATGTGCACACCAGCACATTTATTCATTCACCCTTCTTCATACAAATTGTGATGGATAACAAGTCATAATTTTGTGTAAAATGTAATTGAGCATTTCCATCAGTTTCAAACGGATCTCCCTGACATCACTGCTGTTCTGTTGGGGCCATTTCTGCAGCACTTTGGGTCTGTTCTGTGATGTGCTCAGCCCCTGAGTTTGCACAAGTGGTTGGCCCTCTGCATATTGCAGGAAAACATCTGYCAAAGCCATGCTCTTGTCTTCCCAAACTGATTATTCATGAACTAACATAATGTTTTTGATTGCTCTGACTTRCAGGATGATGATGGGAAGATTTGGTAAGTAACAAAATATACTCTGAATTTATTTATTTTTTTTGTTTCATTTGTGTCAGGCACAGAAATCTAGACTCTTTCTTTCAGAAATTTCTTTTTCTAGACAATGGGTTTAGCAATTCCATGCAATGGGAGTTACAACCTTTTCATGTTATGACCATTTAATTTATACGTGAAAACCACTGAAGCAAAGGGCTGTGGCAAAAGGTCCAAGAGCTCTGTTTATCTATCCACCTTCAGCAAACAGCCCTCTCTAATTCCTCTGCATGGAGTGTCTTATCTCCTCTGTATTTGCTAGACTTCAGGCCTTACCAAGTGTGTCTGGGCTTCTAAACAAGACCCACTTTTCTGATGTTGATGCCAAGAGATTGCCTTTTGCATTTATTTTTTTTAGTGGCATTAAGTAATTTCTCATTTTAGAGGTGTGTGCTCCTGTAAAGAATGAAAAATAAGTATTTATTTTCTTTATTTGCCCATTATAGTATGTGAACACTATAATTTCTCCTCTTGCAGTGTATCTACATTMAATATTAAAAAGATACTTGAAAAATAAGTAATGTCAGGGAGCTACAGGGGCTGAATAATGTATCTTCAGATACCGCAGGAATTTAGATAATAAATGTTTGTTTATTTAACARTAGGAGACTATTAAAATGTGTTCTGTAAATAAAAAGCATTTGATCATGGAAAAGCTGTTAAAAACTATGTTGAAAACAGATTGGATTACATATTGATGGACAGTGCTTTGAAGGTGGTAACAATTTAAATCTCTTTGCTGTACATAGGATTTGCTCTTCATACACAGCTGGATCAGAATTCACTTGAGTTCAGTTTAAGCTTCACTGATGTCAGGGGTACTATCAGTAATTTTAAATTGACCAGATTAATATCTGAATTTGACACTGAGTGTGAATGTAACCGGAGCTATTGTTTAGGTTGGGATTGAGGTTTACTCAGAATTTGTGTATCATTTTAATTTTTCTTTYGCCCGCATATTTTGTGTACCAATTATGAATGGCAGAAGAGGGAAATCAGTGAATATGTTTATTTTCAGTTGCCTCTAAAATTTCTAGGGCAGTTTGCTCTGGCATGTAGGCAGACWCCAAAATAGAGTGCTGACTTGTAGCCTGGGTCTGTTATGTGACTTTCTGAAGAAAAAAACCTTTAAGCTTTGGACAGGTAACCTGCTTCCCATACTTGACTGTTGAAGGTGTTTTGATTTTTATTATTTTTCCCCCAAACCAGAGCGCGATGCCTTTGACACACTTTTTGATCACGCGCCAGACAAACTCAGCGTAGTCAAAAAGGTAAAAAATAAAATCCTAGCTTTATTTTCCATATTGCATTTCTTTCCTGTGCTTTTGGAAAGATATTCAGAARCATCCAGCAAATAACAGAAGAGGAATCTGAAGTAGTGAAAAGGRTGTTAATCCCCAAAGATCACTGTTTCAAAGCCAGGTGATGTTTTCCACAGTGCCCTAAAATGTGATTGAGCCATAAAGCAGTTTGCTAAATACAGAGCTTTCACAAAAGATTTTCTTTTGCCCACAGTGCTTCTGCTTAGCACTTACTCCTGTGCGCCCCTGGTTTGTCCTCCAAGGCTGAGAGCATTATTGCACAACACGTCCATCCAGCCATATTTTTGACATGGCTCTTTGTGTTAGAGCAGGAGGGTCTTGTAGCTGTTTATCTCTGTCTGCCAGCTCTTGAGAGAGAGATTCTTCCTGGGGAGACTTCRTGTAGTTCCATCAGATAGCTCCAGCCTGGCTTTTAAGCTACTTACTAGAATAGTAGTATGTAAAAATTGGTGTTGCAAGTTGTCCCTTCGTCTTGTAGGAAATAAAGAGGATGTGTGCATTTAAAACGATGCCTTGAAGTCTCAGGAAGATTTTTATCTTTCCAGTCTGACATGTCTACTTAGAAAAGTATTTTTAAGTGGATAAAGACTAACTTAACTCTTTCCACACAATAAAAGTGGTAACACCAACTCTGTGTCCCTTCTGGAAGGGGTGTACGTGGGCTGACAAATGTCTGTGCTCCAACACATTAGCACAGATCTGGCTTGTAGTGGCAGGATCTTGCATCTGGAATAGAAATCCAGACTTGGGCTACATCCTGACTGTACTTTGTGTGCTGCCTGCACACATSCTCCCAGGAACAGCGTTGTGTGCACAGCACTGTACTGTTGACATCTTCTTTGAGAACCTGAAAAAATCTGTGTGGGCGGTGATGCMCCTACAGCTCGCTTCATCTGCGGGCACCAATGTCATCACAGCATTCTCATACGATGCTGAAGTTTGCTTAATGTGCTAGGAAAGCTGAAAGTAAGCTGCATGTAACAGCACCATCTGGTGATTTCTGGCATCTGGTGCAACAAAAATGGCAGTTCTGTGTACTTATTTGTGCAAAAGCAGGCAGCACACATGCATATTTATTAGGTTTTAAAAAAAGTCTTAAAGGTTATGTTAATCCTTTCACATCAGCACTCAGTGTAGAGTCTGACATCACTGTTTCTGGGTTTTTTTTTAATAGTCTCTGATCACCTTTGTGAACAAACACTTGAATAAACTGAATCTGGAAGTAACGGAGTTAGAAACTCAGGTAAGAGGCTTTGTATTTTGTCTTCTTGTGTGTAATCTGTGTAAATTGCAGTTTTTCAGATGTGGGCTTGACTAAGCAGAAGCAGATCTTCTTTCCAGAGTTTACTGAGCATGAGAGATGGTTATCTTACTGTCTCATCAGAAAGATAAGCCCAATATCCAGAGAATTATACCAGGAGTATGGGTAATTAATTTGAGCCTACCTTAGTATAATACCAGTCATTCGTTTGCTGGTTTTAAAACTCTGCGGCAATAAATGGGTGACTGGATCTGATCTGTCACAAGAAATTGTTACTTCATGCCTTGGAGATACCCAAGAATTTATTTTTTAGAGGGTGTCACRTGTGCCATGTCAGGACCACAAGTGAGAAGTCTTAGAACTCCATAAAGTTATTTCCCTTAGCCAGTCAGTAATTATCTGGTGTTGTGGGAACGCTGAATAGTATGGCTGAAAAGGATTTTATTTAGTATTTACTGAAACCATAAACAATCTACTTTGACTTGGGGAAAAAGATTATTTGATGAAATTTGACTTCCTACCTGAGACAGGGGAGACTTGATTTCAAGTTTTGATTAAGGGCAAAGATTCAAATGTCTAACACACATGATTTAAAGAGGAATTGTGATCCAAATGACCAGATACTGTAGCAGTGGGACTGAGAGTATATAATGTGCAAACATGTTTCCCAGGAAGTTTGGGAATTTTTTTTGGGATTTTTTTTAAATACTGCAGCGAAGTTGACAGTATTCCTAAAGCAAATAAAATGAACATGAGGAAAGCAAGAACAAACTCCTGAACCATCTCACACTTTCATGCTAGCAAAAAAGCTCAAAATACATAATCTGGGCCAAGCATTCTTTGTTCTCCTTGTTTATGAATGCTGATTTACAAACAGATGCTTTCTCCTAGTATTTATGTTTAGTTTGCAGATGGTGTSTACTTGGTTTTGCTCATGGGTCTCCTTGAAGACTATTTTGTTCCACTTCACAACTTCTACTTAACACCTGAAAGTTTTGATCAAAAGGTGGGTAGAAGCTCCACGCTTTGTTCTTTTTGCATTATTATCTCGTGGTTTTTTTCCTGTTGTTGCATCCTTTCTTCTTGTGCCAGGTAAAATAGAACCTGGTGTATTYTCTTTAGGAGCTGTAGCAAAGAGTCACTGGCTGAGACACTTGTTAAAACCACYAAAAATTGTTTGTGAAATGAATGGGTAAATTSCCMATAGTTAAGGAAGAAAGGTGTTCTRTTGCTGGCATTGGGCAACACATAAAGCTGATGAGTATCCAGGATGAATAAAGAGTAATGAGTGCTTTGTACTGCATAGTAATTTCCATTATGAAAATGATTTTTTAGATTGTAGTACTGCCCGAAGTGTTCTTGTGTCTCAGCCCCACACTTGCTCCATTGTCCTCATGTTAACAATGAGAAAAGTGTTTAGCCTTTGTTTTAATGTCATAACCAAAGGCTTTTCTGTCTGCAGTTGTTCCCAGACGTGCACATGCATCTGTGTGTATTTGTCTTGGTAGATTAGAATACTCTGAGCCTGGTCCTCCTGCGGTAACACATGTTAAAAAAAGCCCCCTGCTTTTTATTCTGCCAGGCTCTGCAGTGCAGAGGACACGTCTTGTGTTGGCTGAGCTGCAGCACGAGGGGGCTAGGTCAGGAATGGAAACATTGGCTAAAGTTAAAAGATGTTAAATTCAAAAGATGCTTTGTAAGGCAAACACTGTTTAAAATGGGGGTTTCATAGTGGCTTCCACACAGATTGTTGCTATCAACCCCCAGCAAAGGTACATCTCTGGTAGGGGTTGTTATCTGTAACCTTTTACACAAACTCTCCTCTACAGCTTTCTTTTGCTTTTTTTATCCCAATATCTTAAATTTTTGCCTTTGTAGAAATGTAGGTTGCTGTATTGCAACTAGCATCTGTTCTGTTATAATTTTAGTATTAATGGTTGAAATTYATAAAGATTATCCAGTATTCCTGAAGTAAAGTTGTGGTTTTGGGTGGCGATTCTGCCTTGAGAAATGGGGTTTTATTAACTGAAGAAGGAACAGTAGGCTCTGTGTTTTGGGGGGGAAAAATATTACATTGAAAGTGATTGGATTTGTCACAAGGAGTGAGGAGGAACTGCAGCAGGTAAAAGTGATAAAGTCCTGAGTAATAAGCTGTGTAACTCCAGAACTGTCAAGTGCAGTAACAAAACTGCACAGAATTCATAATGCTAATTACCTTGCCTGAATTTCAGTGAGTGTGGACAAGAAATCTGCTATGTAGATCTCTTTAAATCATAAGGTTTGTTCGACAAAGGAGAGATTAAATGGAGACACCTACTTTCTTTCTCTTTCCCTTCCCATCCATTTTCTTTGCTCTGAATTTWTGTTCATGTGTGATCTGTGGGGGTTTGTTCAGGAAGCTCTTTATGTGCAGTTGTGCACAGATTGTTTTGCAGGATCYCTGCAMAGCCTATCCAGGAACTGCCCCCACYGAGCATTTCATGAAGCATTTACTTCATTAGAGAAACCCAATTTGATTTTTGTCTCCATTTTCAAGTAGAGGAAGCCAAAGCACCATGAGACTAAGGAATTAGCACAAAGCCATGCAGGAAGCAGCCTGGATCCTTGATATGATGTTGATGCTGCTTGTARTGCAGCTGGTAATAACACAGAAAAGACTAACATTTGAAAATAATTCTGTGTAGTTTGCTCATTTMTTCTTTCTTACTTACCCAGGTGTATTTTTCATCTCTGTTAGGTTGTTTCTGTTACATCCCTTGTTGCCTGGATGGCCAGTGATGTCTTGTTATTGACTTTGGGGACAGGCAGGAGATTAAAAAATGCAGCTCTGTTCTAACTGTTACTGGGAGCTCTCTGGCCTCTGCTGTAGAGGCTGAGAMCGGGGTTTAATGGGGTTTCTTGGTCCATGTGGGGCCCAATCCCATTTTTACACTTGCATATCTGGAAATCTTAAATTACTTTATATCAAAAAGTGAATACCTTATGATGATACAGGCTTTCATTTTGGAGTGGCTCATATTTACTTTCTGTCATGCTTTAACATGTGAATGTTGATTTAACATTAAATATTGATTTAAATAGAATTATCATTTTCTGCATCGAGTATAGAGAGAATAAAGCAGCTAAAAATTCTGATTAAAATTTTTTGATGCCCWTGTAACTCTTGAGATTCTAAACACTTTACCTCTTTCAGGTTCACAATGTTTCTTTTGCTTTTGAGCTGATGCAAGATGGAGGACTGAAGAAACCAAAAGCTCGCCCTGAAGGTACGGTGGTGCCACGTGACTTTAAACTGTGCATAAAAACAGAAGAGCAGGTGTATTTCAGCTGCAACTCCATCCCCAGGCAGTAGCAGTAGCACCACAAAGTGGAGCTGTGAATGGGGCCCCTTGACAGTTTTCCAAAGTGTTATTTTTAGGAGAACCAGTAGCAAACAATGTTCTTGATTTATTTGGATGTGAGAGTCAGAATTAAAAAGTGTAAAAACTGAGTTTTCCCTTTAAAGTCTCTGAACTTGAAAATTATTTATTGATGAGGTCTGCATTGTTCCTTGCACTAGGGATAAAAAGAGGAATTAAAACTTTAGGACTGCTAAACGAGCAATTTTTATTCCTGGTTTTACAAACTGTGTATGTGTTAGAAGCTTCCACAGAGCAAAGAAGAATGAAGAGCCCCCAAGAAATGTTTGGTCTGACTTAAAATGAGACAAAGTAGTGATAGTAAATAGATTAACAAATAGTGGAGCCAGTTATAGAGGGGGAAAAATGCAGAAGACAGAATTAAATGCCTATATATCCTGTCAGTACTGTTGTTTTAAACTGGGGCAAAGAATGATGACAAGAATGATCAAAACAAGAAGAGGTTACCTTTCCATAAGGCTTTCTTACATCCTTACATTATCATGAGTGGTGAAATGCTTGGGATAAAGTGTGTATCTTCAATAAGCAGCAAAATATGCTTGAAGCATTTTACCGATGGAAAATTTAATTATTAATATAAGCTAAAAAGCCAAATTAGCTCATACAGCATTCCTTTTTTTGCTTTTTGCTGCTGCAGGATGTACAGTCTCTGGTGTGTTTCCCCTCCTGTTCCCTGTGTGTGGCCATTCTCAGCAGCAGTTCCCAGCTGTTGGAGTGAGTGTGCCTGTGTGGTGTCTGTGAGGCTGGAACTGCCTGCAGAACTGACTGTGGCTCTTGGAAAGCTCCCATGGAGAGGACAGACACATCTTGGAAATCACTTGTCACTGTAGTTTTATTTGTAAAATCTTGGCAGTTCTGTAATATGTGTTTCACAGAACAGTAATTAATTTTGACAGAGAATCTGAAGCCCTGTAAAAAARAAAAAGTGTGTGTAGTGTGCTCTGTTAATGTTGTGCTCTGATCCATTGTTTGTTCATCAAAASGCTGGGAAACCTGTCAGGTGAATCCATGTCCTTTGGCATGAATTGGGTAGTAAATGCCTCTTGAATTAGAATCATAGAATTGYTGAGGTTGGAAAAGATCTCTGACATCACTGAGTTCAACCATTAACCCAGCACCATCTKGTTCACCACTAAATCMCATTCCCAAGTGCYRYATSTACACAGCTTTTAAATTGCTCCAGGGATGGGCACTGCACCAATTCCCCGGGCAGCTGTTTTGATGCTTGATGACCCTTTTGCTGATGATATCCAGTCATCAACTTTCCCARYRTCCAATCTAAACYTTCCCTGATAGAACTTGAGGCCATTTCCYCTYRTSCTGTYCCTTGTTCCCTGGGAGCAGACCCCGATCCCCCCTGGCTGTCCCCTCCTGTCAGGGAGTTGTGCAGAGCCAGAAGGTCCCCCCTGAGCCTCCTTTTCTCCAGGCTGAGCCCCCCCAGCTCCCTCAGCCCCTCCTGGTGCTCCAGACCCTTCCCCAGCTCCRTTCCCTTCTCTGGACACGCTCCAGCCCCTCAATGTTTTTTCTGCCATGAGATTCCCCAAATTGCCCCCAGGATTTGAGGTGGTGGGCCTGGCTGTCCAACTGGTTTAATTAGTTGCAGGATTKARGGAAAAATGTTGTCTAGAGYAAAACATAATTTTTATCACTACAGYCCATGCTTYCTGCAGTGCTTGCAAGGAAGAGGTCTTGTTAAATCCGTTACTGTATCTTTGTACAGGTGTAAACAAAATAGGCCCCTACAGGTCATGTCCTATAGGTTTTTTTTTATTCCTGAATCCACCAGCTCAGAAATGTGGGGACTTTTTTTCCTGTCAGGACAAACARSGGAAAAGAWAATRCAATTTAAGGATTTCTCCTTTTYTTCCACAGATGTTGTCAACTTGGACCTGAAGTCTACCCTCAGGGTTCTGTACAACCTGTTCACGAAGTACAAGAATGTTGAATGATTCTGGAAGCTGCTGAGGTCTCTTCATCCTTCAGCCTCCTCGGGCAGAAGTTACAATAAACACCCTCTGCATGCTCCCATTGTGCCTTATGCTTTACTTCATGCATTCTTCCTACAGYTGATGTGTTCTCTCTGTAGCTGTTTGTAAGACAATTCCACTAAAAATGATGCATGTGTGTTCTCTAGGTCACTTGAAAWTGTGTAGATATTTGACACTTTTACCAAGTGGATCTGTTTGCTATAATCCACAAATGTTCTTTTGAGAAAGAAAAAATACCACTAACTTGTTTAATAAGCAGGGAAACGCAAGACCTTCCTCATGGCTAGAGACTCTGCTTCTGCAAAAACAGTTTCTTTTGCATATTCCTTGGTTGCAACTGGCATTTGATGATTTTCCAGGCTTAAGTGTGAACAGTAGAAAATCAGCATTGGAATTTATTGAGAAGCTGAGTTTTAAGTAAGGTTTTATGTGTTCTGTTGGGTGGGTTGGGCTGGGGGGAATTACAGGCACTGTCTGAAGCTAATGGCAAAAGCTTCTGTTTTTGTGTTCACCTCGTTCTACTCAGTGTTACTTCCATTCAGTGTTTACACAGAATAAGTCTTGCAATGGGATGACCAACTAATCTTTTGATGTCTATTTTTATTTAAATTCTTTTCTAGGAGAAATTTGGTTGATAGGGCCACTGTCACTCATTAATCAGGCAGCTTTGGTCAGGTCAGTGAGGAGCTGGTCACACAGGCACAGGCTGGRTCAGTGCCTTTGCCCCCAGTCCTTTCTGACACTTCACAGGGGAATGATGAGCTTGGGCTCATCTGTGGAGCTGCTCCTGCCTGGTGATGKGGTTGGTGCAGGGCTGTGTGCAGGGAGCTGTGCTGGAACAGGAGATTTTTGAGGGGAGCTTTGTACAAAAAATGGGTTTGGCATTTCCAGAGTAAATGATTTGTGGAATATGCATACAATATCACTCTTTTCCTTTGAGCATATAGAGGAGAGATTTGATTGCTGCTTTCATGTATCACAGCAGCAACTTCTGTTTTATGGGCAGCCATTCCTTTGGTGAAACACCAGGCAGAGTGTTTCCCTGAAGAGGAGCAGTGGAACTGCTCTGCTCCATGACCTCACTTGAGTCCTGTTGTAAGCAGGCATCTTTTTTCCCTAAAAATGAATTTCTTACACCAAACATGATTTGCYTTTGAACTCAAGTTCAGGAGGAAACATGCTATTTGAATGGTATAATTGTACAATTGGGATTTTCTCCTTCCCTTCTCAAATGTTTTTTTCATCTCAAAGGGAGAGAAATGACCTTCTGCTTCTTTGGTTTGTATTTTTGGGTTCTGAGTTCTAGAATTTGGATTACTTGGGTCACCTCTCCTCACACCTCTCAAAAAAAAAGATGGAAGTTGTCCTTCCTTTGCATGAAAAATTCAGATCTCCTCTGCTCTGTAAGGCTCTCGGGGGGATCATTGTGGTTTAGGAAGGAGCTGCCCTCTCGCTATTTATACTGAGCTTAGAGCAACTATGCTGTACAATTCAGATGGGGCCATTAAACTCTACCAAACACCAACAGAGGAGACTTGCATGGGTGCTGAGGCCTGGTTAATGAAATTGTTCTWACTTTTGTGTGGGAAGTAAAGGTATCATGAGGCTGGGAGGTCACTGAACTGAAAGGTCTCTCAGACCTTTAGTTTAATGTGGGTTTATTTGTGGAAATTTGTGGTCTGTTAGAAAGTTGTCATTCCACTCCCCCTCCAGGTGATATTCAAGTATTTATGTTCTCTGAGTTGCTGGGAAAGACCTCCAGAGAGCCCAGTTTTTGAAATTGCAAGCAGTGATAATATCAAAAGGAAACAGAGGATTAGAAGAAGAGATTGGTGAGAGTGATTTGGCTTTTGGAAAGGGAATGGCTGTTTCTCAGCTGGGACCATAGAGCTGTCATCTTCAGGATGTGTGAGCAGAGGTGAGCAGGTTATGACAGGCTAAAGGGTGTCTGTTTTTTTCAATTATGTGTTTCTGGTCCATGTACAGAAACCAGAGTTCTCTTTCTACAACAGTGGGTCTCCTTTAGCATTCCTCATGTTAATATTGTCCCTGTCAGCCACTGGATCAGGCTGGGGGCAGGTGTCACAGCCCTCTTGGTGCTGTTATGGTTTTKTCTGCTGGTAAATGTTGCACAGGGAAAATGCTCCTTTCGTTCCTTGGCTCCTTGCTGCTTGGCCATCTCACTGCTCTGTAGACACTGTGTTTATTGTTAACCAGATCATCAGCAGGGCAGACTGAACTCAAGTGTAGCTTCACTGCAGTYAGTCCAGTTTGCAGGAGGAGCAGTGTAGGTAAAGCTTCTCTGAATGCCTGCTTTTGTCATGCCTTCCATGACACATGCACAATATTTCTTTGCCTCTCAAAAAGCTGAGTCAGTGTTAGAAATGTTATTCATGAYGTCTTTGTGTTACTGGGGTTTTACATATGGGTACCAGTCTTGAATCCTGTTGTGTTCATCTAGAATGCTGAATGCTCTGCAGCATTAAGGCTYCCACATTTGTAAGTATTAAATGAGTGTCTGTCTTTTCGAGTCCACACAACTAGACTTTTAGGTGCATCTATTGACATACTCAGTTACAGTGAGCTGCATTACAACAGAAAAAGCTCAGATAGTCCTCAGCTGCATTCTGTTTTTAGAGATTAAAAGCCAACAGTGACAGATCTTTTAAAATCAGTTTAAACTTTCTAGGATTTCTTACTCTTCTTCCCCACACCCCAGTGCTTTCAGTATTAATGTATTTTTTAATGGTCTTTTCTACTGTTTTTAACAGTGTTTACTCTGGGTTTCTAACTACTAAAAACCAGCCTTGCAGATAAAATTCTGGACTTGTCATATGTTGGAGACATCCGTCTTAGTGATAAGAGTTTTGTACTGTAAGCAAGTTACAATGCAATGCTATGTTTGCTAAAATTCACAGCAGGAGTGTTTATGCATGGTTTTTGACAGTTGTATTATTTATTCAAATAAACAAATAATGATCACTATGTTTTCCACTTCTTCTTTTTTTCCTTTTTTTTTTTTCCTCCTCAATGGACATATCTGTGGGGAGAGCTTTGGAATGGTGAGCTTCCCTTTGCTCTGGTGTGGAGAGAGCATTGAGTGGCTCTCCATTACAGCAGAGCTGGATGGAGAAGCAGGAAAATGCATTATCAGAACTTGTTTTGGTGGGACTGCTGTTGAATCCTTGAATTGTTCTTCAGTGGCTATTTGATGTGTTTGGTGGGGATGTGCTTTGAGAATGTACAGAGACACTCGGGGCAGGGGGAGATTGGCGTTGCCTTAAAAACGAAAGGACAAAATCCTGTGAGTGTTCAAATGGTAAGGTAAAAAGCAGATATTTAATGAAWGCTTTCAGCTGCCTAAATATGGCTACATGCACACTTGATAAAGGATTTCTACAAATTTTATAAGGTTAGATAATTGTATATCCAGCCAGTACATCCAGCAGGAAATCAGTTACCCCCTAACCCACCCCAGGTCAGCCTCTTGGAGTCGGTCCAGGGGCTTCTTTGCTGTATTTTCTTGTCAAGTCTTACCAGATTCTGTTTGCAAAACAACATGTTCTTGTTAGAGGTTCTGTTCTTGAAAATAAGACTCAACAGAATTTCAGGAATGTTAGCTTATTAGTCTAAAATCTTAAGAGAAAGGGTAGGAAAAATACCAGGAGCTATATAACCATTAACAGTCTACAAAGCTACAAATAGATACAAATACATAAAAATATATAAAAATCAAAAATATTTCAGCATCATAGGCATGAAATCAAATGCAACTCGTTCAGAATTGACTATAGCTGTTCTACAGAAGTGTGGATATTCCATGCATTGGTCACAAAATCGGTTTTGGAGGAAAATAGGTGCTTGTCCATCCTGTGTTTCAGACGTTTTCTTTTAGCACTGACATGCTGTAGCTATGAATGAAAGTCCTTTGTGTTGCCCATTGAAGTATGGAGAGACTTAGAAAGATTACAGAAAGATTTYCCAACATTTAGTTCTTCCTGCTCCCTCTGCCTGCTGATAGGAAACTGGAAATATCCAAAGTTCCCAATTACATTTCCAGTGATACCTTGTTTRTATTTTTGGCTTACTACATGTGTAGAGTGCAGCATGCACTTGTGAATAGGTAAGAAGCTAYTCTCGTGCTTGTTACCTGCTTAGAAAATAGTTAGGTTTGTCCTTTGATTCAGGGTTTAGGGTTAAGTTGTTGGTTACTRTAAATTCATGGTAGCTGGAAATCTGTTTTCAACCCACTTTCTCTTATCCCATTTAGCTCATGCCAGACTGTCCATTCTTGTCTTTGGTACACAGCTAAACACAGGAGTCACTCCCATGTTAAACCAGACCAGCTTAATTAGTGTGTCTGGCTGCTGTCTCATTAATGGGGCTCATGGGGGGCTTCAGAGTTGCTTTTGCTTGCTGGGAGAGTTAACAAATGCAACTGGTACCTGAAGGAAATGTCCATGGAAAGTGGTTTCCATGGGAAGCTTTTCCTCTTTAATCAGTGGTGTAAAAGGGGAGGAAGAGCAGCAGCACTGCCTGGTGGTGATGACTCGTCTCAGATGAGGGCTTTGGGCCCTGCTGTCGTGGCTGATACCTCTCTAAGGACATAGGCATTAGTTTTTTTCCTCGATCTCTTCTTCTGCTGGGTAGATAGAGTAGTCCTGATCTGCTTTATAAAATGCTTGAAGGAGTATGAGGAAAAGGTGTACAGGAGCATGATCTCATCTGCTTTTGGCTCATTTATTATTATATACAAAGCAAAAGTGCTCTGTGGGTTGCCCCGGAGGCAGAGTAGCCCAGTTGTGCTGGGCAGTGCATTCCAAGAATGCTCATATCTTTCTGATACATTCTGGTGTTTCAGGAGTTGCAGGGCTGCATGTTTCCTGCACTTACATCCCTGTTTATTTCAGTCTCTGCAGCAGGGACCAACACACAGACAATTAAGTTCCGGAYGGGACCGTGGTTTCGTTTTTAAGARCAAARCACCGCGGCACAACTTCCCCTTGTGAGYTTTGTGTGCTTCATGCTGCCCTGCATGGGAGACCTCTGAGGGCTCAGCCCTCTCCCCTGAAATTTCACCCTGACTGCTGGGACAAGGTCTTGGAAGAGCTYCTGAAGAGTTACTGAAGGAGAGAATAGTAAGTTTGGAAAATGGGACTGCTCTGGGTGCCTYTTTTCATAATTATTGTTCTTAACTGGAAGACTTTTTGTGTCTATGTGGATTATTCTAATGCACCTTCCCCTGCTAAGGAGCAAAAATGGCTCCTGAAAAGTCTGGCCCTGAACAGGGAAGTGAAAGTAAGTTTTAAACTGGGTGCACAATGCATGCTCTCTATTTTTTTCTTACTGTTTAATTCTGGTTTTCTGACGGCAGAAATATTACTAATAACATTCCCACTTGTTTTTTTCTTCCCTACATTGTGTGATCTACTTGGGTAACTGTTCCTAGGAAACGTGTTTGAGCTAATGCAGAGCAGGGCTTTTGTCTTTTCRAACAGGAAATAAAACAGGTGAAACAGTTCAGCAGCGTTGGTAAATGCCTTGTGAATATTCTGCAGTTGGTTTGAAAGCCAGAGACCTCTGTTCATTTGTTCTTTGTGTGGTGCCTTGGGGATATCTGGGAGCCAGGCTCTGTCAAGACTCGTGGAGTAAAAGTGAGCTGTTGTGACCCAACTGGAGAATTTGTTGTTTCTCAGTGCTTGCATGGCATTGCAAGCTTGTGCAATAGCCTAACTCCTGACCTGAGGACGATTCACTTCTTGGTGAGAAATCCAACACCCCTTGGCTTTAAAGCAAAGCCTGTACATTGGTGGCATTCTCAGAGAATGAACATTTCATTCAGACAATGCCATTTCCTTGGAATAGCTGTTAACTAAGCATCTATTTTATTTAAAAATGCCATAATGAAATGCCCCTACAGTCAGTATTTAAGCAGTTGTCTCTTACAAAGTTCTCCTCTTCAAGTACTGATAAAGAACTTGTGCAGGAGGATGGGGGCTGGAGAAAACAGGATGTCAGTCACAGACCTGAGCAGCAAATTTAACTGATSGGCGGCAGGGGCTGGTTGCAGCAAATACGGAAACTTGCATGTGAGAACCAACTCTTCCGACCTTTGCTGTTTCTCATTAAACAGCTCACCCAAGGAGGTGCCACACCCTGGCATGACCCATTTGATGTTGTTCCTGCAGTGTCCTGTCCTTTGAAAGGCTGTTGCCTGGGACCAAGCCTCACCAATGTGCAGCAATGCCACATGAAGGACTGCTTGTGAATGYTAATGATGAGTAATAAGCAATGAGTCTGTAATATGCTTAAGAGCTGCAGTTCTGGGGCTCTGAAATGCCTGTGGGAAATCAATATTGATAAATGTGAGCTGTGCAACACAATAAATGATGGGCTCTGAATGATGTGTTGCTACCTAGGAATAAGGTCTTGGATAGATAATTCCATTAAAGTGTCAGTAGTGATCACAAAAGCAAACAGGACTTGGGGGGAGAGGAGCAGAGACCAGTGAATGCAGTGCCCCTCTAAATTTGGGCAGGTCTGGTTCCTAGCGCTTCCAAGGTGCTTCAGCTGGTTTCCCAGGAAGGGATAACAGTAGGCTGTCATTTCTCAGTTTGGAAAGACATGGATGGGAGGGTTTAGGGCAGTAGTATTGGAGCATTAATGCAGTGCTGTGAAGAATGTGAATCAGTTGGTCTTTGCAAGGTGCCTTCGGGGGAAGCTGATGGGCTAGAGCAAGAAACAGGAGATGGAGCTTCAGGAGATGTGGGGCTGGGCTCTTCACCTCCTCGCTGCTGAGAGACACGCATGTTCAAGGGCTGAGTGGGAAGCTCACGGGGAGTGAATGTGTTGACAGCTTCTAGTGACCAGGCCCCCAGTTTTGCTTAAGGAAGGCTGAGCTGCAGACTCTTAAAGAGTTTTGGGGAAGCATCTCTCTATCCTTGCACTGCTTATTAGTTTTGGGGGTTCTATTCTTTTTTCTTTAGGTACTGAAAAAGACTGGATAGCTGGAAAGTGTGTCTTACCCAGGACAGCAATTTTAACTCTGACACACAGGACTGAGGCCCTGGAGGATAACTACATTACTGCAAGGAAAGACCTGAAATTCAGAATTTGCAAGTTTCCAAATTTCAGAGTGGCTTCTGATGTTCGGGTTCCTTGGCCAAACAAAGCCCATGGGTGTGGCAGCCAGCACACGCCACTCTGATAGGCAAAGGAAGTGAGATACCCAAGTTGAATATTACAGGAAAGCTGAGTAAGTGTAGGTTGTGGTTAACACAGACCATTTCTATTATGAGCAGGACTCCCCCAAGGCATCACAGCTGTCAGAAACCTAATTTAAAAGTACTTTGTCTTCAGGTTGCTCTGTGTTAATTAACTTCTTTCAGTTAATTTAATCTGAACAGTCTTATCTCAGGTAGTTCAGTTGTTCCTCAGGCACTAAATCACTCAATTTCTCCTATCTTTTTTAATCAAGCACCTTTTTAGAGATACAATTCAGTTTTGCTGCCACCACAATRAAATTAATTCTCTTGTGACCCTTTCTCCCAGTGCCTTTCTGGCAATTTGGTACCAATTTGCTTAWCCAGACTGACATGCTAAAGCATCCAGATATTTCAGCGTGGCAAAATCTGTGTTCAAATACATGTTCATAACACACTTTGACTGGAGACTGTGAGAAATATGTGAGAGAGAGCCATCAGAGCAGGACTGTGCTGTTTGGTGTATAAAGCTATCAACAGGGAAATGTCAGTTTGGARGTGTTGTGTGCCACAGCATTGTCAGCAAGTGCCTTGCTCTGGGTTGTGGGAGCATGGAGGGAGCTCCATTCCTAAAGCTAGGATTAGCTACTCATTACAGTGCTCTGGATTGCTCTTTACAGATGCCATTCCCACTCGTTACACAGAAGCTTTAGGTGGCAGGACTCCCAATGTGGGCACTGTGGGTAGAGACTAGGAGTCCTCGTCTGTGGGAGCCTACAGTACATCTAATTTTCTGTCAAAAAAGCACAAAATCAGTCAGCATCCCCTCTCCTACAGTGGCCCAGCAGCACTGAACTCCAGAGAGAGCATTTCCTATCAGCAAACAGCAGCACTTGCAGTCAGAGAGCAGAGCCCCGGGTACCTGTGCCCAGCAGCAGCTGCGATTTGAGGACTCAGAGGAGTGGAAGAGTCTTCCTGGTCATCACATCCACTCTGCTCTGACTTTCAGAGATTTTTGGGCTGTTGGGAAGGATGAGATCTCTTACTCATGCTAGAACAGATGTGCTGCAAACCACACGCTGCCGTGAGTGTCCAGAGCTCTCATCYTCCTGTAGCTTCCTTCACCTCCGCAGACCACAGTACAGTTGCACTGTACCTCTGATTTCTTACACTTAAAGCAATGGGCATTTAGTTTATAAAAGAATCATCTTGCTTTTTTCATGTCTGGAAAGCAGGGCCCAGAGAGTTGGGGAATGGAGTCAAATCCAGATGGTGATCAGTCACAAGTGGTGTCTTCCAGGGCTCAGCAGTGGGGCCAGCCCTGTTTAATGTTTTTAACTTCTTTTCTTTGCACACATTTAAATAAATTTTCAGATTTTTTCCCAAAGCAGCTAGTGATGAAATAGTAATTGATAAAAAAACCCCTCAGTTTCTTTGTTTTCTTCTTAGTGCTGATTTTGATCTTTATGTGCCTTTACTTGAGTTCCCTCTTTTCCCATGATTTTTACCAGTTTACCAGGAGTGATTAAAGACAATGGATCCGGACTTTTTAAATGCATTTACACAGCCCTCTACACTTAATCAGTTCCTGACTGAGGACATCATTGCTAAAGGTATGTACTTTATGAACCAGGACAGAAAAAAGTCCAAAGAACCACCTGAAAGGCCAAACAGAAAATGTGCAGTACAAATGAATTGTGTATTTTTCAGCATGGTTTTATCAGGAGTAAGCCCTGTATGAGTAATTTGGCTGCTGACACTTCAAAGCAGCAACACAAAGTCCAGCTGGTTCTTGAAATGAAATTTAAGTTTCACACATAAGGATCTGACCAAGTTTTTTTTCCTCTTTCTGGAATTGTCCACCTAGATCTTACTGATTTGAATTACATGGAAGCGTAATTTCCAGCAGCAATCTTATAGTCTGATATACTATTTTCTTGCTCATAAGGAATTAGTTAAAATTAAAAAATTAGTGTTTTATAATTGGCAATTACCCATATTTGGCATATCAGATTTAGCTACAAACTTGCATTAGTCATATCTGATAATTGTGATGGATCTTGTTTGTTTCCTTCCATAGGTGAGAAGAGGAAACTCATAAAACCAACCTCAAGCAGCAACCCCAAACTGGAAGAATTAAAACTGGTACCACTTCTTTTACTATTTAGTTTAACCCTCACCTCAAATTGTTTTAACCTGTTGTTGAAGGAAAAAAGAATCTCTTTCAGCCCTGTAAATTGCCCAACTCTTTGACCCCAGTTCCCCACTCTACAGATGGGAATGAGCTCTGCTTTTGGCATTTGGGCTCCACACAAGAGAAGCAGAGCTTTTGTCTGATTATGGTGTCAGGGTGGCTGGGGCCATACAGGATCGAGCTTCCAGTGCAGTGAGCACTGCTGGCTGTGGAGAGCAGACACAAACTGGAGTGGTTTCTGAGCTGATGCCTCTCCTGCCCCGGGCTGGGTGGGTGAACCACCCCAGGAGCAGCAGCTGCTGTTTCATGGTGATGATAATGGAACAGCGATGAGGATGCAGCTGAAACACTGGGACCACAAAGCAGAGCCACGTCAGCATTGCTGTGGCTGAAGAGAGATGAACAGACAGGTGCAGGTTTGCTGCTCTGATCCCRTGGGAACTTTTAGGATTGCTCTACTGATTTGCAGCAGGCTTCACCAGCAGCTGGCTCAGCTGGCAAGGTTAGCAGGGAGCAGTGGGGGGTGGGATGAAGGGTATGCCAGTCACCAGGAATTCAGGATAAAAGCTTTCAGGCTGTTGTATGGTACATTGCCTGCTTGAGGTAACTGTRAAGGATGAATGCTATTGCACAGGCAAGTACTTTATTTCCATCTAATTTTGAAAATGTCCTCGGTGTGTTCAATCACTGTGTTCCTCTAATAGCACAGTCCATGTACTGAAATTTCCTGGAAGAAGAGTGGCATGCGTCTTATGAGACCAGCAGTCCCTGCATTATGGAGGTCATAACAATAAAATTGTTATAAATATTATGAAAAGCAGCTTAAAATATGTGTTGATGTTTGTGTTTTATAGCATTTATAAATATGTATGTTTCGATATTACCTTTTCATGCACATTTTATCAAAAACATTTGATTTTGTCTCACTCTTTCACAATATTGTAATACAAAAAGGGAAGTCTGAAAGGTGGTGCTGCAAAATGCAGTTATGCRGTCTACAGAAAAACTGGATTTGTTATTTCCAGATTGCCAAAAGATTCCTGAAATTTTGTTCATTACTGTCTAATTTCTTTTCTTTGGATGATAAGGAGATGAAGATTGTGTCCTGAGGGAAGCAAAGTCAGTGCCCATCGGCCCCTTGATTGCCTTCTTAATCTAAAGATGTGATGGCTTCTTTAGAGAAACWTTGGGGATGGAGACAGAGGCAGGGAGAATCTTCAAGGGAAGAACAAGGGAAGTGAAGAAACTCTCTTGGGAGACAGACTGTTGCACTGTATTTTCATTTTGAGGTGGCTTTGGAGAATTCAGTGATAYGAAATGGCTCCCTGTAGTTGCTGCAAATACCCAGCTGGATGTAAAATAGAAGACAGTTACATTTGGGAGCTAGCAGCAAACTTCTCCAARTATTCCTTTTCTCCTTTCCCTGTTTACTCATTTTCAGACACAAGGCTCTGCTTCACAGCGGAGTGGGCCCCCAGAACTGGACAGAAAGCAGAGCTGTGTGAGCTGCAGGCTGTGGATGTGGCTGTCTTGAGCTGGGAGAGCAAAGGAGGGGTGTCACAGGTCTGAACTGAGCAGTACTTGCTGCTTTTCTGACTCCCTACAGTTTGTACTCTTGTGTTTGGGGCACTGCTTTATTCCTCACAAATCTCAAGTGTCACCAAGCTCCAGCTGAAGAGCACAGCTTTCTGCTCTAGAAGATTCTTATTACTTCTTAGGAAAGGAAATGTGTTTCACTTTGACAGCTTCTCAGTTCAGGCCTTTTTATTTCTTGTGCAGTTTCAAGTGTCTCAGAGACTTTTTGAACTGCTTTTACATTTTTCTTCATGTTGGCGAGCTTACAGGAATCTGCTGTGAATTTTCTCCTGTGTTTACAGAAAGTGAGAAGGATATTATCCACTCCAGACACTCACTCACAGCAATCCAAGCAACTCCCTTCCCTCTTACAAGAGGGATGTTCATGTTGGCAGCCACCTGGGGCTACTGCTTTTCTGTTCTGCTTCATCAGGTCATCTCCTCTTTCTCTCAGCACACGTGAATAAAACACATGCTTGGAGAAGTGCTGAGGAGCTGTTTTGTTCTCCTGTGTAGGAACACATGTGGTTCATCTCCTTTTGTAGCCAGACCATGGCTTCCTGAGAGCAGCTTCCCCTTGCAAAGGCAGCAAAGATATTGGAGGGCCAGTGGGAGGACTGCCACGTAAGAAAGTTCCAAGAAGGTATTTAGGGACTGAGTATACAATATTGTGGAAAGAAAAAGAAAACAAAAATAGGAGATGAGAGGGAGGAGTGCTAGTAGTGTGGATGAGTACAAGAAACTACCCACAGAAAGAGCAAAGCCTCTTTTCTTACAAACTTCTGCCTGGCAGTTGAATTTGTGTGAATTTTGTGATGTGTGATGAAGGCAGGGGATGGGAAGTGTGCTGTGGAGCATTTTCCCTGGTGGGAGTGGGAACAGGGTCTGTCTTCCCGGTTCCTCAGAATATAACTAGTAAGATGTCTCTCTCACTTGAAAATTAGGAAGAACTAACCCTTTAAAAAACAGCCAAAAAGCACAAAGGAAGTGGAGAGKGAAAGCAAACCAAGATATGAGATAAGGGACTAAAGAGAGAGGTGGAACAGAATACAGCACTGGTGCTGTAATGTCTAAACAACAGGGATATAATTGCTTTGTTTTCCCCTGCAGTTCTTGATTGAATGGATTAACAGAACTCTGAAAGAGGAGCACATCGTAGTTAAAAGTCTGGAAGAAGACCTGTATGATGGGCTGGTACTTCATCATCTCCTGGGTAAGCTGCTCCTTCAAGTTTAGTTCTTACAGACACCTCATGGAGGAGCTTTCCAATCAGAATAGACCCCAGGAATTGCAGTAGCAGGAACCTCCATCCCTTCTCACTGGGGACCAGCTGTGATAATCACAATTCTGAATAAATTCCCACTATTGTTTTACATCGTTATTTTACTTCTAAGACTTTATTACCTGCTAGTTGACATAATAAAAAGATGGACTAAATAGTGTGTAGTTCAGTACTTCTGAAAGGGAGGATGGTTTTGTAAGCCAGGAGCACAAAGGTGGTTTGTGGTGCTATCAGTAACATTGGATGGAATCAGCACTGTAATATATGTTTTCCTGCCTTTAAAAAAAATAAATCTGTGTCTGAAGAACTGGTCTGGCACTGAAATTGGTAGACGTCTAAGAGGCTTTTGGCACTATGCTATGTAAAGATGTGACCTCCTGAGGCAGCCTGTTATCTGTTTCTCCATTTCTCCTGCCCCTACTACAGTTTTCATTCCCTTTTAGTTATCTTTGGGGATGTTTCAAATCTCTCTCCTTCCCACCAAGGCTGAGAGGAGCAGCATGAACAAGATTGGCTTATTGTCACGGTTTGCTAGCCTGAGCAATGAGCTGGGGTTTCTACTATATATGAGTTGATAYAGACTTTGTCCACTGTCTAGAGGAAAGATTCACTCCTTGAATTTCTGTAGCATCCATGGGAAAAGAAAGAACGAAAAGTGTTAGGGCTGGGGGATGAGGCTGCAAGGACTGACTTGAACCTTCTCCCTTTTGCATGGCTGTGAAATGGCATTGACCATTTAAAACAAGACTTTGTGTGCTTTGCTGTGATTTTATGTTTCTAATTATTTTTTTCCCCCTGTGATGGTGTTAAAATATATCCTTCTACTTCCTGTGGAATCTGTCAAAGAAAACTTAGGATCTCTCAAGCTGGATGTTGACAAGATTGCCTTAACAGAAAAAAAACAGCGACAGAAACTCACTGTGATTATGGAAGCTGTGGCCAAGTGTTTGCAACTGGAAGAAAGTCAGCTGAAATGGAGTGTGGAATGTAGGTGCACAAGTGAAAATGAAGAAGATTATCTATCACAGGCTTCCGCTGCTCTAAGGCTGCTGTGAGGCAATGTGCTGCCAGAACAGTAATTAAATAACCTGTTTTCAATTACTCGTTGAATCAAAAGTGTGACAGAACTATCTGACCCTTCCTGGGCCTGCCTGCCTTCCCTAAGTGTGTGGCTTGTGGATCACTTCAGAGCCCTCAGCATCCCTACATGTCTCACTTTTAAGCTGTGCTATTGCTAATTTATGATATTATATTAAACCAGTCTTATGTCCCACCTGCGTTATGGCCCTCCATGGCTTCGGGGTCCTCTGCACGTGGGGAATTCATGATATTGGAGTGAAGTTCCTAGTTTTGCATACTGAGCATTGTTTTCTTTTCTTTTACACTCAACAGCTATCTTGGCAAAGGACTTACTGAGCACACTGCATCTTCTGGTTGCAATAGCAAAGCACTTTGAACCCAGCCTGGCTCTGCCTCCMAATGTTCAAGTGGAAACAATCACCATTGAGGTATTTAGAGTTTCAGTATCTGTAACAGTAGGTCAAGAGTCCTTTCACAAGGCTAACGTACTTAGGATTAGGGAGAAATGTGTGTGCAGCTGTGAAAGAGACATTTGTATTTTCTGTGAACCTCACCTTTTAATTTCTGAGTTTGTTGGATTAGATTTAGTTTTCAGTTTGGATACTCTGTCTTTAAAAGGGGAGAAACCCTATGCTGTTTTTCTTCCTCGGTCAAACAGAGGAAAGGTCCAAACTGAAAGCAGATGTTGATCTCTGTAAAGAAGAAAATGAAGAAATTCTGCTGTTACCATCTCTAAATGTTTTAAAATAGAAGCATGCATTCATAAATCATAAAATTGGTTTAATGATTTTCTTTAGGGGATGGGAGCTTTTACTCCCCTTCTGTTGGGGTCACATTTTGGAATTCTTCTCTACAAACWGAGATATGCATGCTTTCTTCCTCTATTTTGTTTCTTAAAGTCAATGCTGAAACTGTAGCGGAATATCAAATATCCCTCACTTTGGGAAATAATTGCAAAAATTAGTGCCACCAGTATGTAAACAGAGAATGTTTTTCACTGCCCAAAAGGGATGAGCAGTGAATACCAAGGACTTCCTCTGATGGGGAAATAAGAAATTTCATGTTGGAGACTGGAGAGAGCAGAARGAAGCAGAAACCTCTCAAAGTACCTGTGGTAATTGTATTGAAATTATTGAGTAAATGCCCCCTGAAAATCACTTGAAGCAGCAACAAAGGTCATGAAAGCTTGCTTACAAAATTTTTCATSTGACAAACACAACACTGTCTATTGTTGTTTCAACAGACCACCTCTGGGGGATTAAAGACATCAAATGCAGTGGAGTATATCACAGAAAACAAGTAAGAGGAGATATATCTGGTTTTCACACTGTCAGCCAGTAAAGAAGTATTGTGGGTGTGTTCCCCCTTACAAAAAATAGCTGGGATCATGATGATGACAAAAGGTGTAAGCCCAGGCTTGTGTATGCATGGGAGTTGCTTCTCTGGTTTCTTTCCTTTTTTTTTTTTTCTTCCCATTCAGTATTATGGTGCAATACCTTTATTCTTTCTATATAAAAACTTTCTTAAAACAATATTTATGATTATTTCTGAAGCTTAGCATTTGTCTTTGCCATGGAATTTCATAGCAAATATAGTAACAAAATTCCAGTACTGTAAATTTACCTGTGCCAGACTAAATGGGAAATTTTCTGAAGCCACAAAGGTTTAAATCTGTTTTTAATTTGTTGCTGTTGTGTCTTTATTTAAAGAGAAAGGAGGCAGTTATTTTCTTATTTTATTGTGAAAGAAACATTCTAGTTTGCTGAGTGTGTGAGATACTGTCATTATTAAAGGAGTTAAGTAGTCGGATGCCATTTATACGCTGGAAAAAATATGGATATCATTCTAAGAACTAGAAACAGTTTTTCCTACTATCATTTTTGATATGCTAGAACATCTTCAAGCTCTAATATCATGAGCAGCTTATTGGAAGAGGATATTGAGGATTRTGCTTGTAAAATAAATGTTCATTTATGTGTGGGCCAGTTAAAATCTCACATGATTCCAAGAGCCTGCACAGATATGCAGCGTACTTAAAAATGTCTGTTGGAAAGTCTCTCTGACATAAAGTTAATGGCACTTTGAACTCTATCTCCTGCTTTACGAGATAGCAGATAAGCAAAGCTTATGAATAAGAYGAGCTCTGCTGAATCATTTTTCTAATTCTTGCTTTTTATTGCACTTCCAGAGAGAATGTAGAAGCGCAGTCAAGTAAGTGCTGGCATTGCCAAGTTCACTGTTTCATTATGTGCTTTTATACAACATGTCCTGATCCATTTTTACCTCATGATAAAATCAGTATGCTCCCACTAAAGTTAATGGAGATTCATGGATTTTTCCTGGTGTTCTTCTCCAAATGTCTCCTGTTAATGCCTGTTCATACCACCACCATACAGCTTGGATACTGGGTGGTCACTTTGCCTGTGGACTACAGGCAACAGATGGGAGGGGAGGCAGGATCTGAAGGTGGCTTGATGACCCAATAAAGAAAGAAACCTGGCAGGGGGCAAAATAGAACTTGGATTTATGTGTGGACCATGTTTACTGTTGGAACTATTTATAAAAGCTTCAGATTTGTGGTTCTCATTGCTACCGCTTTAATGTACTTTCCTTCCCACAGTTTGCAAATGAGATTTGAAATCTGCTGGTACTCRGTTCTGGATGGTATCTCAGTCAAACCAACCTCCCCAGAGTTTTTACCCTTAGGGCTTTGGAGGGCTGGGAAACCTTTGAGGTGAAAAATGCCCATGTGTGCAAAGCCTGCAGAAGGTGTGGGCACTGCTCAGGCTTCAGCGAGAGCTGCTCTTCCCTGCTGCAAAAGAGCACATTGCGTCCCCAGAGAACCAAGGCAACCGCTTGAATTCTCTGCTGTGCCCTTTATTTTGACATTTGCATCCTTTGCAGAGGTGCAAATGATATAATTTAATATTTTTCAACAGAGTGTTCTTTAGTGTGGGCCAAAATTGCAAAAAACACCCCCACCAACCCTACAACTTCAACATTCACCCCTCTACCCCCGCCCCCCAAAAAAAGGAAAAAAAAAAAAGAAAAAAACCCCAACCCATAATTAGGTGTTTTTTTCAGTGGGCTGATTCTGCTGGGAAGAGGAATCTGCAATTCACTCTTCAAGATGCTCTCTCTATTTTTGACACAGCTTTCTTAGCAAAGAGAGAAATCCCAAAGCRTGGCTCCAGAAGAGGGCTCCCTGTGATTTGTTTGATGGATTCACCTATTCCCTGACTGTGCTCCTGCAGAAACCCCCAGACAGGGAGAACAGACAAGCCTGAGGRAACCCTTTCACAAAGGAGGCTTCTCTGGCAATGTCTTTTGGGAGGAATTTTCTTTAAGCAAAGCTGCCTTTTCTTTCCTGCACTGCAGAAATTGGTTCTCCATCTAATGGTGCTGCCAGAGTGCCCTTCCTTGCTCGGGGGGTTTCGAACCCTTTGCTCGTGCTTGAGCCAGAGCTGTGTTGTGGCTGGGTGAGGAGATGGGTGCTGCTTTTGCTGAACCTGGGCAGAAAGGGGAGTGAGGGTGGGACTGGGATGGATCTCATTTCCTTGGGAACCTTTAGACTCCTGCTGGTTCCCTGGCACAGGTCTACTGGCACCAGTTCATTGCCCACTTTAAACTGGATGGCAGAACTGCACATTTTTCAGGTCTCTAAATTTTCAGAGGAAGGGCTGTGTCTCCATATCTTTCTTGTGGTTTTTTTGAAGGAAGGAAGCTGGGGTTTTTTTTTGTTTTTTTTTTTTTTTTGCAAATGTGGTGTAACTGTTTGTAAATGTCACAAACTGAGACATTTCTGTTTGTGGAGAGCAGCTCTTCTTTGCTTCTGGTATTTCATCCCAGAGGTTCAGGGTTAAAAAGTGAAAAGAGACAAATCACAGCAGTGTGAAACTTGGYCATTGCTCAGACTGGTGGCAGCACAAACTGAACCCTCTGCAGGTGAAAATTACAGAGCTGAATGAAGCAAATTGTTTCCTCTGATGTGGCCAGGCTGAAGGGAAGCCTGTCATCCTGTTCTGTGATGAATTTAAAAGCAGCATCTTTCTCTGCCTCCCTGCTACTCTTTTCCTCCTTGGCTTGTAAGTTGTAAATACCTTTCTCCTTCTAGAGCCACATTAAAGCTCTGATCTGTCTGTTATTCAAAATAAAACCAATTAATGTTGTTTTGATACAGAAGATGATGCCTTTGATGAATTATTTAGCTGTGCTCCAGATAAACTGGATGCTGTAAAAAAGGTAATTTACGTTTTTAGTAGACATCAAAATCTGTTAGGCAGAACTTAAATACTGAAAAAGTTATTTTTTCTTTCTCTCTTCCCCTTTTTTTCTTTAGGCACTTTTGCAATTTGTCAACCAGCATGTTGGAAAATTAGGATTAAATGTGRAAGACATCACATCTCAGGTAGTGTGCTCTGAGCTGTTAATCATSTTTTGCCAGCCATTTGAGTATTTCCTCTCACCATTAGGAATCCTCCTTTTTATTACAGTAATTTGAAATTTGGCGACAAAGTGATTTCCAGGTTTAGGTTAAGACATCAAAATTCAGTCTCTGCAGTTTCTGAGGCTAATAATTAATGCAAAAATACAGCCTTTGTATTTAATGCTTCCCCTGTAATGCAACAGAGAGTAATTTTCAGAGCCTGCCCAACTCCTAAGGGTGCTCTCTTTGTTAGGTGGAAATAGAAGTGCTCTGAACATTAAAATGAAGCCAAGTTGATTGCTCTACTTAGCRATTGTTAACGCTGTATTTGCTCCATGGCATGAAGGCCTCATTTTCATCACATTTCAAAGTCTCATCCTCTGAAGGTAGAGCTGCTTCAGAGTATGAAATTGTGAGAGAAGGGCTTGATAGGCATGTCAGGATCACCTGCCTGAGCTCTGGTAAATGGAGTGCTCTTCTCGGTTTCTCTGGTGGGCAACTGTAAGAAAAGATTTTCAAGTGGTTTTTTGTACATCACCAGGCACAATTTTGTTTTCTTTGCAGTTACTCATTTGTGCTCGTCTGAAGTCTCTTCACATCTGGAATAGTTTGTTTCAATAGCTGCCCTTTTACGAGGTTGTTTTCGCAAGTCTGAATTTGGGAGCCTTATCTAACAAAATATTAAGTTCACTGTGGAAGAGGTTGAGGGGGCTGAGTCATTAGACTGAGTCTGCCTGCTTGAGTAACTTTTAAATTCCTTTATTGCTAGAATGGCATTTACTGGAATAGTTTCCTAAAGCCAAATAATTTCCCTATAATTCTTATCCAGTTTTCAGATGGAGTTATCTTACTTCTTTTAATTGGACAACTGGAGGGTTACTTTCTGAATTTAAGGGATTTCTTCCTGACTCCAGCCAGCACCACAGAGATGGTAGGTTGTTATGTAATTATTTAGAGCTTGAGCCATCAAACTGTGTGTTCTGCCTCTTGTTTCTACTGCTGCTGCTGTGTTTGCAGGATGGGGGTTTGGGACAGTGCAAACTGGTRCTCAGTGCCATCAAAATACCTCAGAACAGGTTGGTGTCCTCTTCAAAATTAGCATCTCAGGAGAGGCAAACATCTGTTCCTCGGTTTTGTTTGGCACAGCCATGCAGGCTGGATTTCTGGTGAAATCCAGGGCTCTGTGTGGTGGGGAATAGGGTGTTAAATTCTACCAGGCTGTCCTTCAAACAATGGTTTGAAGAGGATGACACCTCTTGCATTGCAGAACTGGATCTCTGTGGGTTTCTTTATGCTGCCCTAAAAATAYACCTTAATCAAGATGTGACCAGAACATTTTGAAGGCCCCTTCTGTGTTTGGGAAGCTCCTAAAGGTTTACATCCTTTCCTCCCCCGAGGCTGGGGGCTGTAACATACTCAGCCAGACCTGCYTGGCACCTTTTGCTGCCTCTACCAGGCAGATTTCATCTGTGCTTTAAAAGCTGTCACCAGCCAGAAGGAAGTGTGTGCTGGGCTGCCTCCTCCACAGGTCTAGAATGTTGATATATTTTGAGATATTTGAGGTATTTTCAGATTGTCTCTGGTGTGGGTAGGCTTTTTTTTCATTTGGGTCACTGAATAGCTCTGAAAAWCTGAAACTGTAGCTATTTTTCATGTTTTATGCTCAGATCTCTGAAAGTGAAATGTGTCAGATCGTTTTTGCTTGAGAGCTGCCAGAGAAGAAAACCTCTCCTCTGGCATGGTTTGCATTAACAGCTTCCCCACACAGATGAAGCTTTCATCTTATTCCCAACCTTCCCCCAATGAATCCCCCTGGGCAATATTTATTTGTAATGAAAATTCTCAGAGGTCCTATATTAACAAATAAATATCCCCATGGAGCTTTTCATCAGAAAGTTTAAAAGCACGATTGTTTGAGACCTAGGTTCAAATGTTGTCAAAATTTCATTGCTGTCAGTTGATAACTGTTTAAAGTATTAGAAAAAAAAATAGACTTTTTTTTTTAATCTAAGAACAGGGAAAATATATTTTGAAGGATTGAATCAGACATAATCAAAGCATTTCCCTAGAGGTGTTTTTCTTCCCTTTCTCTTCCACTCAGTTTTCAAAATTAGTCTGTTCCCATTGAGTTGGACAGAAATTTTTAACATTTCTTCGGCTTTATTCATAGGAAGTAACTGAATATTGTCTTACTTTAAATTTCATAAATAACCATTTTCTTTTTGGTTCAGACCTATTCTAGTCTCACAGATTCTTTCTGGAAATGAGATAGCCCTAAAATTCTGGTACAATCAAAGTTCAGACTTCCTGTTTCTTACCCTGCCTGTCAGTGGCATCAGAGAAGAATATGATGGGGTTGGGTACTGCTYCAGTACAATTCTTTACACTCTATTAATTTCATTTTAGCAAAGTTACCCCCAAGTACTGCACTKACTGTTGAACAGTTTGCCAAAGTGGTATTTACCATTTGTTTCTCCTCTGGTGCTCATTAWGAGATGAAAAGTGGGACGACACCACAACTAAAAATACTGATCGACCATAGTTCAGCTGTCATTTGTACACAAAATATGTCTTTCAATTCCCCTGTGCTTTCTAACTCCCCGTCATTTTAGACATTAATTGGTGCAGTAAAGTATAAAATTGTAACCTTTCCAGAGATTTAAAAGATTTCATTTGTTGCTAGAATGGTGACAACCATGTGCACTTTTGGAATCAGTGCAGTACATCCACCTCACAGTCCCTTCTAATCAAGACCATTCCATGACTGAAATTCAGGACGTGACCACCTTAGAGGTTCAAGAAGAAAACACTGCATGTGGGTGGGTTTGCTGCAGGGTTTTTGTGGTGTTTATTGCCCCAAAAAAGGTATTTAGAAGTAACTGTAAAGGAGTGCTGCTCTGGATGTTCGTGAGTGTAGAAAGGTGTTCTTTGTCACAAAGGTGTCTTCTTTGTCACAGAATATGATCACAAAAGAGCTGAGGCTGAAATTAGGGGTGAAATTTGTGCAGTCAGGAGATGAAGATGATGAGGAAGGAGGGCTCGTGTGCTTATCAAAACTGTGTGAGCTCGGTACTTTTGCCAAAACAGGCTCAGAGCTGAAACCCCCTGACTGCCCTGGCTCCTGTCCAGTTGTAAATCCTAGAAAACTGTCCAGCTCTTTTGAGTCTGGAAGCACAGCTGGAAAAAACACCTCATTTTTCAAGGCTTCCTTTTATTTGATAATTATTGACATTTCTGTCTGAAGATGCTTTTTGAAATGTGCATGTTTTCATTCCTTGAAAATCTCCAATGCATGACAGAGAGGGAAATGCGCCCTTTTAGCCCGTGCTGGTTGACAAAGGAAACATTGGATTTATTCATTCTGATCAGCAAACTGTGTAGAGCTGTATGGTCTTAAGCACTCCTGGCTCCTGACTATCAGAGGAATAAAACAAACCTGAATCCAAGCAGGCATTCCCAGTTACTTGTAAATCACAGAACAAGGTGAAACCTCAATCTGTTGCCTCACTTCAGAGCACACGAGTTTTGCTTGGCTTATGCATGGGGGACTCCTGTGCTTATTGTCAGAACATAACAGGGAACAGCAGCCWCCCAAAGCATAAATTGCCCAGGAGCTCAGGGAAGGCAGGGAGAGACAATCTGAAATTCATCCAGGTCTTGTTACTCCTTTAGAGGAAGGGAACTGCTAATTACCAGCCAAGGAAACAACTGCCTTTCGGTTGTCAGAAGGGGATATCACTTTTAAAAAAATCAATTACAATTATTGCTTGTGTGTGTGCTGCTACTTTTATGTGGGGAAGGGAGAGAAAAAGCAGTGAGGAAAACTGAGAAAGAACCCTCAGTCTTCATTCATAGATGTGTGCTTAATTTCTCCTGAGTGTTATTGAGGACATCATCACTACTGTTAATGTGAACAGACACCTTTAGAAGTACAGCAGAATTTTCTAGCTCACAAGTATACCTGATCTTTGCAATTATGAATTTTTTCCCTTTTTTTTTTTTTGTTCCAAATGTGGTAAGCACATAGGCATTGTTAAAAAAACACCCTGAAATAAACTCCATGCCTCTATTAGATCCAGTCAGGAATCCAGCCTGTTTTCCCCATGGGAACATCCATTAACACAAGTCTTTCAAATGCAAGGTCTATTTTTAAATAAATGGATTCTTCTGCCCATCTCATGGGATAGGTTTTGCTGGAGATGGATTTTACATCTAATTTTATATGATAATTGGTAGAAATTCTGAAGAGTACTCCATCAAAACTAAGGAGAGGAATGTGAGTACATATTTATGAATCAGTATCTTTAGCTACTAGAGAAATACTTTCTGAAGGCTTTTGTTGGTTAGAAAACATTTTCAGCTATATTAATCTMTCTCTCTCCACCAGCTCCACAATGTTAACCTGGCATTGGACTTGCTAACAGATGGAGGTCTTCTGAATTTTCCTGTGAACTCTGAAGGTGAGTCATGACAAACTTACCTGGAATAGAATTGCTAATATCCTGGCTTAGCTAAAGTTTGGGTAATTGCAGAAAATAGATTCTGGAAGTGACACTGAGACATTTCATTATATGGCTGCCCTACAGTTCCTCATTCAGAATGAATAGCAGAGGTAATAAGATGTTTTTAAAAAATCATTATTTCTRTATAAAAAAAAGTTGGATTGTTATAAGTTTACTAACTTTACACTGAACTTAAACTGTTTAGTAATTCAGTATTTGTTAAAGATTTAAACCAATGACAGCTCCTAGGGAAATTACAGCAGTTGAGCTGGAGGCAAAGCTATTTTCCTGCCTCATAAAAACTTCCACTGCATTAAAAGCAAGCTTSTTTCTGGGGGAAGATACCTTCAAGAATATGTCTTGAAAATCAGAAACATTCATCACTCCATTCAAACCCAGAAGAATGGTGGGTCAGTCTCCTGAATATGAAAGTCATAGGTTTTAACTTGYTATTGTGCCTGGTTTACACCTGGGAGCTGAATCTTGGTCTCCTGCATGCAAGTAAATACTTCCATCACTGAATCAATGTACACACATCCTTCTCTTTCTTTCTGCACCACAAAAACAAAAAGCCAAGAAAGTTYAGTTTGGATGAGTCCAATTTCCCAATTAAAATACTCCACAGAAAAATTTGGTGCCAGCTCCTGGTGGGACGAKGGATGTGTTTAATTAATGGGCAGTGCTGTATTTGCATTGTCTGAACTCTTGCAGGGCACATAATCCCATCATTCCTCTGCAGGATTGTTGCTGAATAAGGAAGTAAAATCTTCATTAAAAATAGAAAGCATTATTGCAGTTGTAGCTCCCTGTTATTTCTAAGTGAGTGGGTGCATGTGTTTGGTGCACAACACATGGCATCATGGAGGGGGAAAGAGAGGATTTAGGGCTTTCTTTGTTTTTCCTTTTGTTCTCTTTTCCCATTAATGCTTTGGTGATGTCAGCAGTTTGCATCTTGGGCATTCATGAACTGTGGGCTTTTTGCTGTGCTGCATGGWGCTAGAAGCCTGGAAAGCTAAAGAGCTTTTATTTATGTTAACATTAACAGAGAAATCGGTGTGGGCTCAGGGCTCCATGCTGAGATCCACCTTTTGTGTGAAAAGAGATAAATCTGTGCTTTCCTTCCTCCCCTCTGGCTATTCTGCACTGCCTCAAACACGGAGCTGATCAGTGTAAGAAACAATGGTACCAACATCCACAAGTCCTTTTGCTTCACTGGGGAAATCCTCAGCTAATGAGTGAATTTCATGTGATTTAGGGGTCCTTGCTGCACCTACACTATTTAGACTGTACAAAGATCCCACTTTACTGGCATTTCTTTGTTAGTCTTTCTCCCAGTGATTTACAGCATCCTAAGAACAGTAAACCCTCTGAATCCATTACCCTCTTCCAGTGCAATTTTTWAGTACAAGAGCAGCTTATATAGCCAAGAAGAAAGAAGTAGCAAACAAAATGGAAAAAAAAACCCAAAAAAAAGACCAAACAACAAAACATAAAATGCAGCAAAAAACCAATGCAGACAATGGCAGCAAAACATGATGGAAATATTATAACAAAAAAAAACATAGTGTCAGGTAATTCCAATATGATTTCTGACACAGAATAATTCTAAAAACATTCAAGGTTTATACTCTTATTAAATTATCTATTATATTCTTTGCTGGTGAATAATTATTTCTTACTCTGCATTACTTGCCCTTATTTGTCTTCCAGYAAGACAGTGCAACAAAAGTCCATTTTCCTCAAGTTAATTTAATAAATTAGTTTCTACCTCTGTAGTTCCTATTTTTCTTCTTGTCTCATTTGGATTCTCCAAGTTCACATTATAATTGGGGAAAGGTGGGAGTTTGCCTTTGGCAGGTGCAGTCTCATCCTGTTCCAGGGATTGCWAACCCTTCCCATCTGGTTTTGTTGTCTCTGGTTTGTGTATCCACAGATATTGTGAACGGATATGCGAAGGCTACAATGCGGGTTCTGTATTGCTTGTATTCCAAATACAAGACCAGAGAAGCATGAAGAACAAGGGGGCGCTTCTTTTTTTTTTTTTTTCCCTTCCCTAGCAGGTCATGGTGTGATTTTTGGATTCCCAGCTCTGTTTGCCACTGTTTTTGGGCACACAGTGATGTCTGACACTTGCTGTGTTAATTTTGTTTAGCAAATGTGTTATTCATGCAAGGTTTCACACACACAGCCTGAGCAACAATAAATGTGTGTGTCCATGGCCAGTGYACTGTGTAATTCTGTAGCTGTAGCTCTTGTTCCAGACCCTGCCTTCTGTTTTTTTCTGAGCCTCCTCTAATGCTCAAAAAAAAATGAAATGTGTTTGTATTCTGGACTCTGTGTTCTTTGCTCCTGAAGGTGAATTTGAACATGGCTGCAACTTCCCCATTTTCCTGGTTCAGGAAGTCATTTGTGAAACTAGAGAGGAGAAAAACCTGCCACAGTGGGAAGGCTGAGACACACTTGAAGTTCAAAACCTTCCTTAGAGAGGTGGCCAGTGACTGTCAGACAAGAGGATATGAATTGGGCACCAAATGAATAGGTTGCAAAAAGGAATTCTGAAATTACGAAAAGTTTGATAAATGTTTCAGTGCTCATTTGCTCAAATATGGAAAAGCATCTCAGAACTACAGGCTGGTTGAGACTGTGCACTAACAGGGCTTCCTCTGGGCAGCTGTGGAAAGATGCCCTTATTTCCTTGCTGAGCCAGTGCCAAACCATGTCCAGCTCCAGATGCAGCCCTGTCACAAACTTTGACTAGCAGGAGTGCCAGTCCCTGTGTCAAGCATGTTGTGAGAGGGATTCACATGTTTGCACTTTGCAGTAAGAGGTGGGCAGATGCCAGCTGGGCTCTGCACTGGTGGAAGTACCATGGGTGGGAGCAGCGAATTCAGCTTYCCACCACCTCTAACAGCAAAGCTGTGGGCAGGGGCTCTCAGACTCCTCAGGCTCTCCTGGCTGAATTGGTCCAGCCTCCATTCCCAACCTCCCAGCTGTTTCCTCTGGATGCATCAAGGTAGGCACAATTTATTAATGGTCAGCCTCGGTCTTTCTTGGAGGATTTAAATCAGAACTCCTTTCAAAACCTCCATCTATTCCCTTGGCCCTAAAATTACGTCATGTTGCATAAAACTAAAGATGAAATTGGGAAAAGAATGTTTCAGTATTTTTTTTTTTTTGCATCCATCTTAACTGAATTAATTTCCTGCTGTCGGTAACTCTGACATTTGATCTCTGCTCTGATCCTCCATCTGTGTGTTACCAGGAAACCAGAGCTCGCCCAGTGCAAGTGCTGACATTTACAGAGGAGAATTTGTTGTGTCTACCTCTGGTTCACACAGCCCGGGGAAGATCCTTAGATAGCAATGCTGATCAGTCCTTTGGAAATGGTAATACTGCACAGCTGCAGGGGACAGAGCTCTGCAAATTGCCCTGAGACCAATCCCTTCTGCACCAAGAATTAGCTCGTGACGTCTTTACAGAGAAAAAKAAAATGTGTGGTGCCAATGAGCTATGGAGATCATTTGATTCCCCAGCAAATGTTAGCTGTGTGTGCTGTTCTGGACAATTTAAGTAAAGAATACCTTTATTTTTTTCATTTGCAAATCCCCATAGGTACCTTGCTTTATTCCTTAATGGGCTTCTAAGAATAGTCTGGGAAACCTGAGAAGTTTGTTCTTGCTTCACAGAATTTTATGCTGCTGTAACACAGCACATGGGTTGTGGAATGAATTGTTACTGAGCAGATAACCCAGGATGTGGCCTGTGGAGAGCAGGGGTGAGGGGGCAGGAGGGGCTGGGCAGTGATTTGGTGCAGAGTGGCCTTTTCCTGCTGGGAAGCCAACCTGAGCCCCTGTGCTGGTGATCAGAAGTCACCAGGGCTGACTGTAGGTGCATGACCTGGGCTAGGAAAAAGCCTCCAGTGCTGGGACGAGTAGCTGGTGCTGCCCCTGCTTAGATGGTTATTACTGCTCAAGGAAACTGCTGGGTTTTTCTCTGTGTGCTTCAAGTTTTGTGTTCCACTCCTCTGGCATAAATAAATCCGGTGCTTGTACTTCTGTGGATTTCTGGCAGGRTACGTCTAGATCTTGATATTTAATAAAAGAAAGGGTCATATTCCCTTTCCAACACCAGATTGCCTAAACCTGTTATAAACAAGTCACAGCTTCATGTTTGCTTTCGAAAACATACAGGGAGAAAAAGATATGCTTCATATCTTTGAATCTTCATATGCTTGAATCAAAACCATGGTGAGACCAAAAATTAATGTTTTAATCTGTTTTTAATGCTGAGAGCCAATTTATAATACACTTGACATGTCTGAACACTTTGATAAAGAGTCTGTGTTTGATTCCTAAAATATGCTGTKGAATTTTACTAGTCCACCACACACACCCTCTCCATAAATCAGTGTAGTATACAAGTGCACTGTTTACATTTGAGACATAGTCGYAGACTTGGCACAGTTTTAATAATAAATAGAAAATGACAGAGCTAAAAAGAATATTCCAACACCTGGTTTAGTGGAATGTGTCCCTGCCTACATCGGGGGTGTGGAAACTGGATGGTCTTAAAGATCCATTCCAAAGCCTTACAGGAGCTTCTGTTGCTTTCCCTGTCCCGCAGGTAAGTGGCGTGGTAGCTTTGGGTCRAGGCAGTAACCAAGAAGTGGAACARATCTGAAATGTTCCCATCTCCTGCTTGCTCCCATCCTTCTGCCATCCAGTCTTTCCAAAATACCCAGACTCTCCCATTAAAAGGCCAGTTTTGCAGGGGAAGTGGCAGGGCTGTGTGGGGAGAAGCGCAGGTGGAGGGGCAGAGTTACCAGRGTGGCTTTAAGGGAATGCAGAGGCGCAGAATTTTTCATTAACAGGATTARGTTACTGACCAAGATTGGCACTGCCTGTGAAGCCTGAGAAAGAGAATTGGAGATCTGTCCCTGCTGTCAAACCCCCTTCTCCTTGGCAGCTAGTCCCATCAGGATAGCACTGACATTTTTGTCAGCACCCTCCTGTGGTTGCAGCCCTGTAGCCAGGCCCTTGCTGCTGTGCATGGGGCAGGGGGACTTCAGATGGGAAATGCTGGCAAACCTCCACCTGATTGAAGGGTGGGAGTGCCCATTCTTAGTGTTTATCCTTTCTTGCCTTCCTTCTCATTTCCCCCTTCTCTCWTTCTTTTCCAGTGGTTTCTATTGTGTTGCTTCTTGCAGGGAGCCATCCTTACAGCGGCTTCTGTAAATCTCTTTGGCAATTAGGCTTTCAAACCATGAAAGCAGCTCATTCAGATTCTTCCTCTCCATTAATTCAAAGGGCATKCCTTTGTGTGTGTGTGTCTGTAGGAAGGGACCTTGCTGTTCTTTCTCTTACAGGCTGCTAAAATTTCCCTRAAGAATAAAAGCCATTGTCAGTTTTTACACAAGTGATTTTTTTTTTCTAGTCAATGTTTTAATGAAGAATAAATGGAAGTGTTACTTTGGAGGAAACAAATGAGTGTATATGAGCCTTTCTGCTCATTGTGGAGATGGGGGGGGTTTCTTCTGCCATTCAGAATTTTCTAGGACGGTGAGAATGTGAACAGGACATAAAGACTGAGGCATGGAGAGATGAGTTTTGAGACAAGTGATAATGAAATCAAGACAGCAGTACTGAGGACTGGTACATGTCTGCTCCATCTTCTCCATCAGCCAGCTGTACTTTCTAGAACTTAAAAATGAGAGAAAAAACCCAAAGGCAGCAAACAAACGGGGTTTTTGCATTTTGGTTTGAACAAAACTTTGCCATTAACTCCTCCCCTTAGTTTTCTAAGCCTTTTCCCTCATGTCCTTCCTTTGCAACCTGAGTTCCCTAAGTCATTCTGCTCCARCAGAATATATGATCAGAAATGCCAGTGGTGGAATGAAAACAGGCTCTTTTTTTTTTTTTTTAATTTTATTTTCCCAGTGGAAAGTCCAGGAGGGTGATGAGCTCTGGTTTCTCTGGTTTGTCCCTGGGGTTAGATGTCTTTCAAGACCACCTGTCACATAATCTATTTGCCAGCCCCAAGAGAACATTGTAACTACTTTAAAGTCTGTAAACACAGCACTAGTCTGGCTTTCAAGGATCAAAAGCCAGGGGAAATAAAATGCAGAGTGTAAAAAAGCCACAAGTACCAAAGCAGTTCTTGTGGATGTTTTTACTCGAAATACTATTGCAGGCATGTGATTTGACCCTAGACACCTCTAAAGAACACAATCCTCTTATAAAATTGGGAAGAGTCTAGATAGTTTGGGCCACATTAAATTATGATAATGTGATAGTAATATTAAGACTGCTAGTAGAGTCAGATATTTGTGTTTTGTCTGGTATTCTGCAGACAAAAATTAAATTAAAATTATGGATTAAATGAATAAACCACAGTTTACAGCTTCATTTTAGCATCTGATCTTTCTGTGTGTGCTTCTCCCCACATATTTCAGTCATTCCTCTGGCATTCTGACTCCTTGTCCCCCCCAGTTTTCCTCCCTTTTGTGCCCCCCTTGTGCTGCTGACACAGGTGGTCCAACAGCTCCSTCCCCTCGCCATGCTCAGAGCTGCCAAGGGAGGGTATCTGGTAGAGAACTCATTTTGAAATGCAAAAAAGCTGTGTAAAAACTCTGGAAACACCAGCTGGCTGCTGTGTATAAGAATGTAAAATGTTTCTCACTGGTGCAAGAAGAATTTCTTTATCCTTCCTCCAACATTAAAAAAATATCAGAGAGAGCAGATAACATTTTGATGGAGCCAGTGTGTTAGGGATGCAGAAGCACAGCAAGATCCAGGAATGAGCTAATTTTCCTTCCCCTTTTCACCTTTTGATGCAAGGCAGCAGGGATAGGTGTCTGTCTGTGTACTTTTCCTGGATATGTTCCCTTTTTGGCAGGAAAATGTTGAATAAGGAGGGTTTGAAATTTGCTGGGTGTTTGAGAACTCCAGCAGATCAGGCTCCTCTGGTGCAGTTGTTTTGTCGTGGGATTTTTGTGGTTTCACGTGGAATTTCTGGAT